AACAAAAATTATTAAACCTTAATTACTGGAGTCGACTTGGTAAGAAGTGATTTCAGTAGAATTTCCAGCAACAGAAATTCTGCAAGTGAAGAACTCACTGAGCACCAATTAAAATATATGCCAGATGATTTATTTTCAGGAGCTATTCTGTTCTCCAGGTCCTTGCTCAGGGGCTCAAACAATCCAACCACTTACAGATGATCAGAATAAGTGGCATTAAGACAGGCATGCAAGTTCTGAAACAGGTTAACTGACTGCCTATTTACTCATTGTCATATATTCCAAGCATGCCACTGGGTAGATGCCAGCCTACCATTTTTATTTAATTACAGAAACATTTATCAGCAAGAGGAAAAACAGGTCGTCCCTTCCTCTGCAGTAGCCAGGGGGCTAAATCTAGTACTAGTTACCCATTTATAGCTGCAGTCATCTCCGAATACAAGTAGGAAGTGGCAAAGGTCTTTGCCTTGTTATGTAGAGTGCTGCACTAGATAAGGAAGACTCTGGTTCTAATTCCCATTCATTCATGATCACTTCAACATTAGACCACGCCTACTCAGCCTAACCTACTTCCCAGGGTTGTGGCAAGGGTAATGGAGGAGATACTGTACACCACACTGAGGTCCTTGGGAAAGAGATGCATAAACATGGAATAAAAATGATGGCAATTTTTGAAAGCTAGCCATAGGGTCACAAAACAACTTTCTTGTTACTCTATTGAAGCTGATTATCTTTTTTGTTGTTATAATATTAAAGGATTGACAATACTGACAGTGTTTTTGATTGGACAGATATTGAATCCTAATCGGCATCATTTTGTATTAATGGCTTCACAGGTATGCAGCATATACTCAATTGCCAGGAAGTCAGTGATTAAGCGACTGAGGAATTAAATAGCAGCTAATTGTCCAGCAGCAGTTCTTCACTATTTCTTGCCTACTATGGAAAAGTAATCTTAACATATATAAGTAATTCTCATTCAAGCGGAATGCTAATTAAAAATTGTTACTGAGCCTTGATTAGAAGCTGGTAGGGCTAACTAGGGACTAGATAATGCTGCTTTGGAATTCAGATCCAACTCACAGGCACCACCAGCTTGTTATCTTTAGCACAGAGCATTAATGAAGGCCCAGATTCTAAGCCAGGTTAACTTCTTCTAGAAATGTGGCATTTGAGGTTTACACTTTATTCACATTTAGTTAGAGGTCCTTGCATCCAGGCTTATCTGAACCTATTGAATTATTAACTCCACAACACTTGCAGGCAACTCAGCTACTCACTTAAATTTCAATAGTGACCAATATGTAAAATAAGTCCAAATTATGTTTGGAGACATTGATTTTTATAGCAATTTTAAGTGCCATGCCTTTCTCCAATGAATGCTTTAGTATGGAAAGGGCATAAAGAATTCTGTGTGATATCCCAATCCCCCCACAAACAGAATCACTCTACCAGGGTTTTGTAGGGAGAGGAATTAAGTTATGAAACTTGCTCAGGTGTGTGGAAAAGAGATGCTTTTATTCTCATAACTCAATTGTTGCCTGCCCTACAACATTTTAAATAGTTTCAGAGTTCCTGCTCTACCACAGCTGTCCAGATATATTCAACGGTTCCTGAAGGTTAGATATCTTGAAATTTGCCAATTCTGATTTAAAATAGCTTCTTCTAAGCTAAAGAAAGAAAATCATTTATGAAAATTGTCTTTTTAAAAATGTATTTTTATTTAACAGCCTTATCGGAAGCTATCAATTTCAGGGTGTCTTTTTATATTAATTACAGGTGCATGCAAGTCATTTGGGCCTTTTTACAACCTCCTCCTTGCTCCATGTTACAATCTGGTTCTTGTTAGATGTAGCTCCCTACCAGTCCAAAGTATATGGTAGATAAATATTCATTCTGACTTGAACTATTGTTTAGTTCCTGGGTGCCAGCATCACTTACACACCAAGGTAACAAGACCCTCAGGAGTATCAGAGCTGCAAAACTATAGCAGATAACATTCACCCCATTGATTAGAGTCCACAATATTAAAATTGTTTACTGTAAATGAACAACATAACTTTGGTACACTTCCCATGTTTTTCAAGCCACCCCATATCTACCTAACTTCTTATTTCATATTATCTTTCTCTTGTATTATCTTGTAATACAACCCCAGGGCCTTGATCTTCTACAGCTTCCTTCACAGCCTTTCATATCTCATATCTCTTACAGAAGAGAGGATGTAACTCCTAGCAATCAATCTAAAGTGGCATCAAACACAGCCTTCTATCTGGTGGCCACCCTTATTTTGTATAGCATTTAACTATTTAACTCAGGAGTTAGCAATCTTTTCCAGTCGTGTGCCGGTCTACCATCTCTCAGACCATGTGGGGGGCCAGACTATTTTTTGGGGGAGGGGGAGGATGAATTCCTATGCCCCACAAATAACCCAGAGATGCATTTTAAATAAAAGCACACATTCTACTCATATAAAAACACGCTGATTCCCAAACCATCCGCGGGCCGGACTGAGAAGGCAATTGGGCCGCATCTGGCCCACGAGCCTTAGGTTGCCTACCCCTGATTTAACTGTATGCATGTGTGCAACACAAAGATAGAGGAAAGTCAGAGGTACCTGAAAGAAAGGTAAAAAAATTATCAAAACACAGAAACAGCAGCAACACAACACCTGCTGATACATAAGTGATGGTGCTGGAGATTAGTTTCCATACATGCATCACCTTTTATCTTATAGACCACTTCCAATGCATCAGGTTTCTTAAATTATAGAGAAAGGCAAGCAGTAATTTAAAAGCTGCACTTAAATAATACAGGTAATAATGTTTACCTTTTTAAAAGGTAAAGTTAGTTGAAGGTTCTGGTGGACTGAATGTATAACTGTGGACAAATCTTTAAATTTAAAAGAGCTTTATTTTATATCAGTATTTTTAAACAGTCTCAAAGTTATTGGTTGCCTTTCTTCAGAATAAGTTGAATGCAATAAAAGCAATAAAAACTATCCCACCCACCCCCAAAAGGGCAACATTTCTGTTCACATTTATGTATACATTTTGAAGAAAACTTCATTTTGGGTTGCTATGAAAGGTTTCTCCTTTTCACTGCAAAGAATCTTGCCCCATTTTCCTTGAATCCCCCCTTAATATTTTTTTGGGGGGAAATTGGACAGGCCTAACAGTACCAAGGGTATTTCCATTAAGTCACAGTTAGGAAAATCACTTTGTTTTTTAAAAAAATGGGATCTTGCCTTAAATCTGTATCAAATCAATTCTCCTGCTGATGAAAAGGGTTATGAGAACTACTTTCATTAAAAAAAAAATCCACAGCAGAACTATTAAATCTTGGTTGCAGTATGAAAACAATCCTGAAATCCAGCTACACGAATTCTAGAAACGTTTCTCAAATGCATGGCAGGCACTGAATCCATAGACCAATGCCAAGATCTCATTTCTTTCCTCTGTGTAAATGCGACATAGTCAGGCCTAGTATGTAGGCCTCTGATACAGGCAGGACCTTTGTTCCATACATCGTTGTTTTTCCCTAAAGCCTCGGATAAAACTTTCCACTCACCCCGCCCTAATGTTTCCTTGTTCCTAATCTAAACTTTTTCGAATTCCTGATGCCTTTAAAAACCCTACTGCGAAGAAGAACACCCCACCCCGACAGGACTGGCCATTAGGAGGAACAATAAAAGTTGTACAGCAGGCAGCTGGGCCTGTACGGCTGGCAAAAGCCCCGGTATCAGTTTGAATGCTAGCCCGGTAGTAGACGGCAGATACAAAAGCGAGGCGTGGAGGAGAAAAAAAGAATGTAAATAGCCAAATACGACGCGTTATGCAAACAAGCCTCACGCTAGTTTCTTCTCGAAGGCGTCAGGAACACAAACCAACTCTAAAATTATAGGGGTGAAAGGAATCTGCTCCGGTAATGGGACCAAGTGCCGAAAGGGACTGGATAAACAAACACCCTTTTCCGCTTAGCAGAGTACGATTTCCCCCTTCCCTAGCCCCCAAAGCCAGGCCAATATGGAGTCAGCAGATCATTTAGCATTTCTCTCTTTTTTTTATTGTCGACGCCGACGCCGCCGTTGGGCTAAAAGGGGGCTGCTTTCCACCCCTCCCCTACGCCTAATTCAGTGGGACGCAGTAGCTCACTTCAAGAAAACAAAATAAAAAGGGGCCCCTGGGGAGGACAGGGGCTAGCAAAGAGGTTGGGGGGAGTTTGTGAAGCAGGGCCGAATCCAAACCCGGGCGCAGTGTCAACACTGACATTGTCCTTTTGTATTTAATCACACACAAGCCAGAACGCCAATCTTAACCGTGGCGGGGGGGGGGGAGGTTTAAAGGTAGGCCCGCAAAGAGGAGCAGGGCTGCGATATGGGGCATCCTGCGCTCCTGTGAACCCAGGCATAAAAGGTGGGGTCCAGATTCATCCCATGAACAGAGAGCCGCTTACACGGGAGGGTGGAAGGCGAAGAAAAGAAGGGAAGGGCTGAATGACGATAAAGCTTCAGGCAGCCGTTTGGCCATTTTGTCAGCTCCCATTTCTGCCACCCTGGCTGCTTCTTCTCCTCTTCACTATTCCTCTTCTTAGGAACGGAGCGAGGGGGTCGTGGAGAAAGAAGCCAACCTTTTACGTTTAGTATTTCCTCCTCCTCCTCCGCCCCCCCCAACACCTTGTATATTAGGTACATATTAGGAGACCTCTTTATGGCGAGGACTTCCTGAAAACCTATTCAAGGCCTCAAGCCACCACCACACATACCACCAACCTTCCCCTTTCTCTCCCACCCGCCCCCGTCGGGTCCGGGACTACCTCACCACCAACCTCCCCCTGTCATGTTCTAACCCAACGCCGCCTCCCTCCCAACCCCACATTCCCCGACTCCGGCCCCCCGGCGAAGAACGGGCGGAGGAGGGGGGGGAGCCGAAGAGTCGCTTTCCCTCCCACAGAAACCCCGGCGTTGAAAAACAGGCCTGGTCCGCCTCGAGCCACAGTACCTAGTTTATCCCGACGCGGCCTCTGCAAAAGCGCTCTGTGGCTCTCCGGCTCCTTTTCTGTCCTGCCCGGCGCCTCTTCCCTTCAATTATCAGCTGAAGCCGCAGCACCGATCAGTGCGCCGTCTGCCTCCGCACCGTACCCCCTCCAGCGGCGTAGGGGGAGGCCGGGGACTACTTTACCCCCAAAGGGGCCCGGGGGCCCCCGTTCTCCCCCCCCCCACTCGCCAGCAGCGGGTGTTCTCCTCCTGCCCGCCTTGGCGCTCCCTGCCGCGGAGCCGGCAGCCCCCCCCTCTCCTCCCACACGTCAAGGATCGGCGGCGGTTCTATCCTTGCCGTCCCCCTCCGCTCGTCTCAGACGTTCCTTGGCTGAAAAAGAGGTATCCCTCCGCTGGGGTCGTCACCCCCGGGGTGCGCGGAAGCGTTAATCCCCCACAGGGTCAGCGAAGCCGCTGGCGGCGGCGGCCTCCCCGTTGGCGGTTTCGCCCCGATTTAGAGACTTCCCCCCCGCTTTCTTTCCCCGTACGTTCGCGGGTGGTGTAAGACCCGCCGACTTCCAGCACGGAGGAGCTTGCCCGTCTCCTTTAAGAGGGGAGGCTGGGCTTCCCGTGACCTCTCCGTGCGGCCGCCCCTTCCTGGTTGCCATAGCGATTGGCCGCTGGCGTCCTAAAATGGCGTCGCTCCTCACAGACACTTTGTTCGAGGCGCGAGGGCAGGCCCCGGCGCCCAGCAAAGACTTCTACCAGCTCCTTGTCACCAAGACGGAGGTGAGTGAATTACCTCCCCTCTCAGGGGGTCCTCCACAGATTTCTCCTCCTTCCTCGCTGTTGGTACCGGGTGAGCGGCGACGGCCTGACGTTAATAGCGAAAAAAGTAATGGAAGTTACCTCACTTGAATTTAGGGCTATTCGTTACTTCTTCCTAGGACTGAACAGGTGCATCCTAGAAAAGTGTAGGGGAAATTCTCCGCGCTCGACTTGCTTCTCATTCAGGAAAGGAAATGGGGTCCACTAGAATTTAAGCAAAACATTTCGCTGATAATTAAATTGCCATGCCAAACCTCCCTACTAGAACATTCATTCTCTAAATCTGCGATTTGGTAGTCCTGTCCCCTAATCCTAGATGCTGCCTTCATTTAAGGCACATTGTACCTGGTTAAATGCACACCTTTCTGTATGTGTGTCCCCATTTTGAGCTTTCTCATCTACAGGGAGATTCTATAGTCCCAGGCATCTCCCATGGAGGTGGGCTTTCCAAAAGGAGTTATATTTCTAAATAGACGAAAGTTCTTATTTCTATGTCACACATCCTGCTCCATCCATGACAGGGATGGGGAGACTGGGGCCCAAGGGCCAAATGCAGCCCTCCAGGACTCTTTTTGGCCCTCAGTGCTCTCCTCAGGCCACACACCCTTCTCAGCTCCTCGTTGGACCACTTTGCACCATCTTTGAGTCTTTCATTTCTGCTTGGATGGAGAGGGATGCAATTGTGAAAAAACCTACAGTATAAGATACAGTGACAAAATTCACATTTATTGCTTACTTTTGCCTCTGACCATGAATTTGACTGTGTGTGGGTTTTTTCAAACATTCCTCCATTCTTTCACCTGAAAAATATGAGGCAATTGGACTCCAATATGTTGCAGGGCTGTATACTTGGCAAATTCCCAGATTGCATTTCTGCATCAAATACCCAATGGTGCTCTGCATTCTGCAACATTTGCGAATACTTTTTCCAACATCAAATCCTAATAGAGTTACTTACTCAGTAATTCAGTAAAATGTTGTCACGATGCTATTATAGCTAACAATATTACCTTTGAAACTCAGATCCTTTCTCTTCTTGGAATTTTACATGCACACTCCAAGCATCTTTTGCTCATTCCCAGGTGGGTTTGACCCACTGTTTGAGAAGTAATGTTTAATCTCTAGTAAAAGTAATATCTCTCCTCCAGAGAGAGTGTTATGTCAAGTTACAGTATTTTGTTTTTAAGCTCTCAGCATTTGTGAGATAGCCGTATGCAGAAATACTATACCTGGTACTGCAAAATTATTTTTAGTGGGTGTATATGTAAATCAAAGTGGCTGTCTGTTCAGGGGGAGACAGTATCCCATATCATTGCCCTTCTTTGACCTGATACTGCTGTGACATCACTCTAGAATCCAAAGAATTGAGAATACTGTCAGTATGCTTTTAATATAGAGGTTTACCTACTAGTTCTGTTGTTTTTTCTGTAGTATAACTGACACATCTCCTAACTGCTTTGATTCCATGGGATCCAGAATCATGAAGGTTCTGTCTCTAGTTGGTGACCTGTTCTGGCAGCTCAGAAGGGGAAATTGAGCTTTATTTTGCTTTTTTCCTTTATCCCTTAAGTTGCTTTTCTGCCACGTTGATCTCTCTGGCACAGTGACTGTTACGGCTGCATCAAAGCAACTGCTTCTGTGGAAGCATTAAGTGAGTGAAACTTTCAGTGTTAAGAAGCCATGTGATTTCCTGGAACAACTTCCTCAAAAATGAAAAGTTTCTGGAAGTATGGAAGGGGAAGCAAAGAACAACATTTTGGTTTTTCTTACTGTAAACTCCCAACAGTTTCAGAGGAGAAGAAATACATTTCCACTCTGTGTATGTGAGACACAGTATATCCCCAAACTAATGCGTATATGTAATATACAGGGATTGAGATTCTCTTTTAATTACACCAAATCTGGTGCCTGCAAACAATTTGCCACCTTTCTGTTTAGGAAAGAAGTTTCCTGAGGGTGCACAGAAATGGAAGAGTACCCAGTTAACATTCCAGCTGCAAGTTATTGTCATGTAATAAAAAGATTCTAAATGTAGAATACAGTATAACTTCTTTGTTTAGATTATAAAAAGAAGTGGAAATTAGTAAGACCAATATTCTAGTCATAAACATACAACCTAAATAAATGTTGTTTGGTTAGTTGTGAGGGAAAGAATCTTTTAGGAGTTGGCTCTCCCCCTATAACAGCAGCATGAAATAAAGAATGATGATAATCATGTTGATGATGTTGATAAATATAGCGCTATCTATGTGTATTGCACTTTGCAAAGTATGACAGAACAGATCCTTGTCCCAGGAGATTTACAATCTATAAAGCAATGCAAGCAAGACAACAAAGGAAGGTGAGATTTTCATTTGAGAATTAATCTTCATGCGAGGGGGATATTCTCTGGATTTTATCTCTATAGTCAAATAATTGCCAAACCCTGGTTGCATGTTGGCATTTCTTTTTAAAATGTATTGGAGATGGGGTGGTGAAGGGAGACTAACAGCAGATCATACGAGGGTACACAGAAGGACATAATGACCAGCAATCCAGAAACACTAATAAAAGCAAGGTAACAGTTGAACTTCTAAGATTTGGTTTTTTTAAAAAAAGTTTAATAATCAGTAGTGAGTCATGAATCAAAGAGACTAGGTGGGTAAAAGATGGAAGTCTGTTAATGCAAGGAAGTTGTTCTAGATGGTAAAGTTAAAAGAGTAGGATCATTATGACAAGAAAGAGACAAAGAAATCTGGCATTTAAGCTTCTTAAACAGTGGACTCATAAGATAGGGTTGATAATAGAAATGTAACTAGTGAATATTCTGAATGTGTAAGTAATATTACATCTGTCATCAATTTGATTTGACCAGGCTGGTTAATTACTGTAATGCATGAAATAATTATATAAGACAAATGCATTGATTTCTATGGAACACCTTATTTCTTTCCATAAAGATCCAAGTTGTATTTTCCTATATATTTTAACCAGTCTATTTTTCTAGAAAAATAAGTGTCAGAGCTCACCATGAACTTCTCATTTGTTCCCTTAGAATGTCAGTGGTGCCTACCTGAGAGGTGGCAGAACTGAGCTCCAGTGACCTCTGGGTGAAAAAAAGCCCCAATTTTAACATAAATACTTGCGTATAAGATTTCATTAAGTCCTCTTACAGAAAAAAGCACTTCGTAAGTTCCACTGATAAAAACATCTAGTTTTAACAGTTTGGTTGCAAATAAGTGAATTTGTTCACCTGCTGCTTCCTTTTATTGTTCCTTTGTCTTCCCTTCAAACTACCGTAGATTTCACTGTGGTTGTACATGGACAAGCTAGAGATAAAATGGTGGGAGGGGCATAATAGATAAATGATCTTTGAGAGATCTACAGGGCTACTTCTGAGGGAAATTTTTCATCTGGAGAAGCGATGAGCTTATACTTTGTAGCAAAATTCTGAAGTGCTCAGAATCCTGGTTAACTACAATATTAATTTTGTTCAAAACTTTTTTCTCCATTTGCATAATAATCATTTTTATGACAGCTCAAGCATTCAGACCTAGTTAACCAAAGTGTTTCTCAACCACCCACTTCTTCCAACAGAAAACTATACCATTGAAGCTATTTCTTTTAATCTATCCAGACTCAAATGTCCTTGAAAAGTCAGATGAGTGATTCATGGATGCTTCCCAAAACATTCTTAAGAAAGACTCTAAATGGAGATACAACTTTGAGAATAACAGTGTAGTTTAGTATTATATCGAGAAGTGTACGAAGAGTAAGTATTTTATAAGAATGCAGACAGCTGGAAAGATTAGATTAAACCAGAAATGGGTAAGATAAAATTGCAGGAAAAGGCACTGCTGTTAATGTGGGAGGTGTGGACATGAAACCATTTCAGAGAGGATTGATGATATGACAGGAATGTAGGCATCTGTGTCTCCTTCCCCCCACCCTCCGGGGATTTTTTTCTCTACAGCAAGGATGAGAGTTACAGCTGATTTTAAGCATATTAACAACACTGAAATCCACAAGTTCTATCCTCTGAACACCTAGTTTTTGCAGAGTTTGCATTCATATCTACCTCCTCCATTAAATTAATCATTTCAACAGTATGTATTGTGCTTGGCCTTCTTTTCCACAGGCTGCATTAGATTTCATTGGGGGCAGCCCACTACTTGCTCAGGAGCAAGGCCGGATTTAGGTTTGATGAGGCCCTAAGCTACTGAAGGTAACGGGGCCCTTTATATGTCCAACGGTCTTTTGTCAACAACAAATTGTCGCTGTTTTTTGTGTTGAATATATGCTATATGGTAATTTATGGACCTGATAGGTATCTAAAGCCATTTGCAAAGAACAAAATATGTATTTTATCAAAGTAATTGATATAGAAATGAGCAAACAAGTTACATTTTAGGGAGCAGGCTAGCAGGCGGGGCCCAATACTTACATAATAGGAGCCTATACAACACAAAACACGGTTGCTGTATATAAGTTTTATTTTATTTGTTTTTTTATCTTATATTTTGGAAATGTACATACAGTTTCTTTTCTTTAATTTTTTGGGGGGTCCCCAAGAGAGTGGGGCCCTAAGCTATAGCTTGTTTAGCTTATATGTAAATCACTGCTCAGGAGTGATGCATTCACTTCTTGGAGGTTTTTTAAACAATTTTCTTGCTTCAGTAGAACTTGCTATTTAGTACATTTATATCCTGCCTTCGTTGCATCCCAGAAGTTAAAATGTGTTACATGGGATTCCTAGGTGGTTTCCTATCCCAGCATTGACCTGCTTAGCTTCAACAAGGTGGCTTCATCACATGCCTTGTAATCTTGTCCTAGTAAGCGTTAATTCAATTGTGGGAAGGATAGATAAATGTAAGCATATATGAAGGCCTATGTCTTATAGACTAGGGTTTTCTACACTCCAGATGTTGTTGGACTATAACTCTCATCAGCCCCAGCCAGCTTTCCCAGTGGTAAGGGATCATGGGATTTGGAGTCTGCTAACATCTGGAGTTTCCCCACCCTGCTATGGATGTTCACAATGATGTAGCGCATTCACCCTGCTCCTTAAAAAAGAATGGGCATAAGCCCTCCAAAGTTGTGTATTTCAAAGTTTTGTTTATTTCAGTAGAATAAAAGCTTGTGCATAGTTAACTGAGCACTGACATCCACATGACAGAGGTGCTAACTTTGGAGGATTAATCCTACTATATCTTATACATAACAGGTTTACAAATAATAAAGGGATAGCTCATATTTTGGATGTGGCTGGTCCAGCAGGAAACCTCATAGATAACAACATTCACAGAACTTGTGTTGTGCCAAAACTCATACACTGTTCATCTTAAATACTGGATAAGCCCAGCCCTGTCTCCCTAAGTCTTAAAAACTAGATCAAAATTTCATAAGTGTTTCCCTTCCCTTCCTACAGAAGTTTATGAGCTAGCCTCATATGACTTATTCTAATACCTTTGTGTACCCAAATATTTTAATTAAAGTCAATTGCAATAAAAAATCAAGGGGGAAAAACAAAAATGGGGGTGGGCAATACAAGAAGAAGGAAAAAACATTGTCAGTTCACATTAACAATACATTTATACATCATCAATACATCCATCTTAGTTTACACGTAGAGATCAATATAGGCCTTCCAAATGTCAGCTATTTAATTTAGTGAAGTTGGTGTTTATAGAAAGTATACTTCTATAGTTTCTCTAGATTGAAGAGGGCATTTGGTCCTTTTTTTATTCAGCCATCCAGAAAGCTACTAGGTAAACAATTTTTAAAATTGCCCATGCTGGGGTATTCATAGAAAATGAGACTTGCCAATCTTTCATATGTGTTAACAGATATGCCTCATAGTACAGAGTACATTTTAAAATTAATAATCTATGTGGCCATCTGTTGCTATTCAGGTTCTTCAGAATGTTTAATTGTACAGGAAGAGAGACATTAAATCAGGCATCCCCAAACTTGGCCCTCTAGCTGTTTTGGGACTACAACTCCCATCATCCCTAGCTAACAGGACCAGTGGTCAGGGATGATGGGAATTGTAGTCCCAAAACAGCTGGAGTGCCAAGTTTGCGGGGGCCTGCATTAAATTATAATAAAGTTACTATGCTACTGTTCTTTACTGTTATGATTAATGCTCATCAAAGTATTTTTAACCCTTTATGTCAGGTTACCAATTCTCAGCTTTCAGTAAAGATTTTAGTAGAAGACTGCTGAGAGTTCCAGATTTTTAGTACCTGCTTTAACCAACCTCCACCTCAGGGCAGCCTAAGGATTCTGGATGCTGAATATAAATTATTTTTCTTCAGATTGTGTGCCAAATCAGCCTATCCCAGCCTGTGGTTTTGCCACACCTATCACTGTTTTCCTTTAGCAAAGCTGCTCTGAATTCTCTGCTAATATGCATGTACTAGGACATACTGTTCAGGATTACATATGCACCTTTAATGACAGACAGATTTACCCAATAGTTCCATTAGGGAACACAGGAATGGCACATTATTTTCCTGAGCAGTCACAGATAAGCTCTGGGAGGAGGTGTGTGATTCCTCAGCTGGAGTAGGCTTGGAACGGGTGAGGGTGATATGCCTCATCAAGCCCAGATGCTGCAATCAGCATGCCAAGTTCCAAAGGGCAACAAAGCTGAAGTGCTGTGTCTGCTCAACTGCCCATGTTGATGGACCTTGGCTTGAATTCTCCTGGACCTCTATGGGACTGCACTTCAGGTTTGACTCTGGACTATATCCTGACTGCTAGACTTGAGACTATTGCAGGCATAGGTAAACTCCGGCCCTCCAGATGTTTTGGAACTACAATTCCCATCATCCCTAGCTAACAGGACCAGTGGTCAGGGATGATGGGAATTGTAGTCTCAAAACATCTGGAGGGCCAGAGTTTGCCAATGCCTGGACTACTGCAACCCTGCCCAGCTACAGCTGTGGTTGTGCCATGAGCTTAAGATGATGGAAGGCACTCTGTGCGACAAGACCACCTGTGCCTCAGGTGACAGCAGTGAATCCAGAACCCCCAAACAACAAAACCAGTCATTCAGAGGAAGTGTAATTCAATTTAGAAATGACCCTGCAGGAATTCATACTGGAGAATCCATGGAGCAGTCAGGTCCCACCTGGAGCTAGCCATCCAAATAGGAACAGCACCACTGCAATGCAGTGCCCCCCAACCTGACTCAGAACAATACCATGATTGATGATATCAAAAGCCACTGAGAGATCTAATAAGAATCAACAGTCACACCTGTCCCATTTCTCTCCCTTGGCACAGGATCATACATTATGAGCAAGGCATTTTCCACACTGAAACCAGGCCTGAATCTCAATTGAAATGGATCTAGAAAATCTGTCTCCTCCAAAACAACCTGGATCTGGTTGGTACCAAACCACTCAAGCAGCAAATGTCCCCTTTCTGGGCAAGGTTCTTATCTAAAATTATTAAGAACTTCGAGATCTAGGGAAGGCTTCTTCAGCAGTGGTCTTGCAGCCACCTCCTTCAGGCAGCCTGGTGTATGGGAAATCCATCCAGAAGACAAAATGTATATTGAGGAGTTAGTGATGATGATGATTTATTTGTTGAATTTATATATCGCCCTATACCGGGAAGTCATATGATTCTAACATGGTTACCCTTCCTGCCTCTGTTTCTTCCCCCTCCCTCCCAGCCTTTAGTTTTTGAAGGTGTGAGAACAATCTTTGGTGTCCTAATCAGTTGGGAGGAGGTGAAGCCCCCCCCACCCCACAGCTGCCTTAATCAGTCTGGGAGGATAGTGCTGGAAACCTTCTTTGATGTTGGAAATTATTAAAGTGAGGCATTGGGAGGAGGTGGCTATTTATAACATTGGTTGGTTTGGGCAGAGTCTTTCAGAAGCTTATGCACAGACTGGCCTATGCAAACTGAGACTACCTGGAGGAGTCACTTCATCGATTCTTGAGGGCTTCCAAGTGGCAGAGGGAAGGGCATGCTTGGTATGTATATATTGCTTGCAGTTTAGAAATAAAATCTTCTCACTCGCTTGTGTTTTGTATTGCTTCTGAATCTCTTTTAAAAGAACCATCTTGCATTTCGCAAGACACCTGGGACCACTCCTTCTTGATGCATTAATCACCTTCATGGCCCATTCAGCTGCCCCCTTTCTATCAGATTTTATAAGCCATGAGGTGCAAGAGTACAAAGCACAAGTGGTTGCACAAACCTTGCCAAATACCTTGTCCATATCCTCAGGCCGCAGCAACTGAGACTCATCCAAGACAAGAAAGCACTTTTCTTCAGCAGGATCATCAGCTGAGCCCAAATCCTAGAGGATGGAAGTAGCTTTATCCTCAAAATGCTTAGCAAGCATGTCACAGCAAATTTACCTTCCTAGGGCCAGTAGGCAATAATAAGCCTTTATGTAGTTCATATAGTTCCACTCAGTGCTTTTTTTCTAAAAAAAAATGTTTAGGGGTACTCTCATTTTTCTACTCATATTGAAATACTGCCCCTCAATGAGGCCAGACACAGATTCACAAAACGTTTTGGGGTATGCATAACCCTGTGTACCCCAAGAAAAAAAGCACTGGTTCCACTAGTGTCGTAGCAATATATCTGCTCCCTGGCATAATTAATGTAAAGGTTTGTTTTGACCAAGTTTCCAACATATCCAATATTTTAATATTTTGTGTGTGTATGCTAAATTAAAATTTGTCAGACAAATGAGTCAAGGTTCATGAATTGCAATCTGTTCTGTAGTTAGCTCCTTTGTGCTCATTTTTCTTGTGCTTAGTGAGTCACCTAACAAATGAACAACTAATTTAAACAGACTGTATATTAACAGATTTCACATATATGGGGTATTGTATGTCTGATTTAACCAAATGTTTGTATCATTTCCTTTATGTGGTTATAGAACTAATAATTCACTCAGTGTGCTGAAAATGGTGAATGGTTTGTTTTATAACATAACTGATCCCCTTCAATAGTGAATTGTAACTAAACTGGTATATTTCCTGTTATTTAGAATACAGTGGTGCCCCGCAAGACGAATGCCTCGCAAGACGAAAAACTCGCTAGACGAAAGGGTTTTCCATTTTTTGAGTCGTTCCGCAAGACGAATTTCCCTATGGGCTTGCTTCGCAAGACGAAACGTCTTGCGAGTTCTTGCAAGTTTGTTTCCTTTTTCTTAAAGCCGCTAAGCCGTTAATAGCCGCTAAGCCGTTAATAGCCGCTAAGCCGCTAATAGCCGCTAAGCCGCTAATAGCCATGCTTCGCAAGACGAAAAAACCGCAAGACGAAGAGACTCGCAGAACGGATTAATTTCGTCTTGCGAGGCACCACTGTAGAATTGTAGAATTGGAAGGGACCCTAAGGATCATAGAGACCACCACACCAGAAGGAAAGAAAGACAGAAAGTGAAACCCAAGCTCCTTCTGGCCTGTTATTTATATGACCTTGAGAGAAAGAGATAGCAGAACCAGTTTAAACCAGCTGTTCAGCTTCTCTGAAGGAATAACCCAAACATCAGGAACCTTTTGCTTGTTTCCAGGCAGAATAGAAGCTTACTTGTCAGCTAGAAATGTCTAGCTTCCACCAGCTTGTATCACACAGAGAAGCCTCTAGAACCTTCTTGAATAAATTAGAATAGGAAAGATCGCTACACTTTAAACCAATATTTTCTTTACTAAAAATGCAAACTTGACAAACTTTGGCACCTTATTCCAAAGTATGATTCTGTCTACACTGCTACTTATTCTTTGAACTTAATGGACACTGCTAACAAGTTTTGCTAAAGTAATGTAGGATAGTACCAGTAGCTGCAAATGACCATAGATAAACATTTTTGAAAAAACAGGTATAGACAAAGCTTCCTTCTCTGTAGATGTAGCTAATCTACCCTACACTAATAATACTGGCGGAACATCACAATTCTGTAGGAAGCTGCCCCATACTATTCTAAGCATCTTGTTTCAGGTTGATACAAAGTACTTATGTTTTTATTGTAATTATTTGTAAGTTTTAAACAGATTTTATAAACACATAACATTTTAATTCTCTTAATGTTTAATTGTTTGTAATTATTATTTTTCCTATGTTTTAAGCGATTGTTTTTATCTGTAACCCACCTTGAGTCCCATCAGGGGAAAATGTGGGATATAAATATATACTAATAATACTTCACAATTTCCCTTCTTTCTCAGTTTTCTAGGGCATGGTTATCTAAGTGACTTCAGTTGTTCCTCAGGACAAGGCAGCAGTAGTAGTTGTTGGGCCATCTTGTGGGTGGGCAGGGGGACTGAGAACAGCAGAGAAGGCATCATTGCCTCTGCTGCATATAAATTAGCATATTAAACTGCAACATTTCCTGTCTGCTTCTTGTGTATATATAGCAGTTGTTTGTTTATTGCAATATTTACACACAGAGATTTTTTTTGCAAAAGTGTAGTGTGATTATTTTTATTTCATAAAATGTATATACTGCTTGATTGCAGAAAAAACCTCAAAGCGGTGTTAAGACTCAGTTTTATTTTGCAAATTGTCGCAGTGCTCTGATGACCACTTTTTCTGTATTCTCTATACTCTCTGGTGCACATTTTCATGAGAGTGAAGCACAGTATTACAAAATCATTTTTGCACTACAAAGTTGTATGTGTTAACAAGCAGTGTGTTTATCCTTTACTTTGGAATGGGGATCAGAACAAAAATGTGATGGAAAATTGTAGCAAACTGCTCTAGAAATGTGTGAGGTGATGTTGATGTCATTGGCATTAGCCAATAGTAGCCCCCAACAGCTGTTTGCATATATACTGAATGTTCCTTTCTAAGAAGAGGAACTGGGGCTTTCCAGCTTCACCTTGAGGCAAGGTGAAAATCTGAAAAACCAGTTTAACCAAAGCATACAGTGGGACAAAAGAATGTACATTTGTATTGCAAATAACAATGGCAGCATAAAACCACCCCATCATTTTGATGGAAATGCTGTCTGCATTTATCCCAAGATCATTAGAATCTTTATTGGAGACTTTAGTCCAGATAGACCTGCTCCCAAAGACTGGGTGAGGGGCAATTGGAAATATGGCCTTTTCTGTTGTGATGTCTTATTTATGGAATACTTGAAAGAGGGGTGCTATTGGAATAGTCTCTGTATATCTAGATGGCAAGTTGGGAAAGTTTTGCTTTTACTGCTGTGCTGTTGCTTTTTTTAATTCAGCATGTGATATTTGCTTTTATTGTAATTATTTCTTCTTTCCTTGTAAGTAGTTGTGAGGGCCATTAAGATGCAAAAAAAAAAAAAAAAGTAAATTAGTTGTATCTTGATTTGTTATGAGAAACCCCTTCATATAAGATACATGGAAATTCGTTCAATTCTCTAAACAGGAATGTGATTTTAAATGGCATTATTTCTAACAACAATCTGAGCATAGTATCCAAAAAAGTATTGTAGGAATACATACCGTACTTTCCCTTATTATTCTGTTAATCGGCTCTTAATATTAATTTTCTTGCAAATCAAAATGATGTGGCTCATTTCAATATCTCAGTTTCTAAACAGCCTGTTATTTTTCTGCTAATGAGTTAGTAACTGTATAAAAAGATTATTGCATGTTCTTGATTTCAGTTTTTGATATAATTGCTTCATTTATCATGTGCTCCTTAGACAGTTCCTTGTAACTAATTAAATGCAAACATTTGACCGTATGACATGCCAACTTCTGGTGTTAACTGATGGCGTTCTACTGTAGTTAAATATGCAAATAAATTATTTTTAACATGTCAGTCAAGCTTTTTCGTATTCTATCTGCACTGAAATAACACTTTTAAAGAAACTTTTCAGATTGCTTGTCAAAGCCTGAATGTTACACAGTGCAATCCAATGCATGCTTACTGAGAAGTAAGTCGTTAGCATCCTTACAAGTACAATCTTAATTGCCCTAATAAAATCAGTCCTAGCTATAGGATGTACATAATTCTCACAATCCGAAGGCCATACAACCACTCTAGGAGGGATCATGCTGTTTACGTTGTCTACCAGCGTGACTTCTAGATCCAAAAAGAGTAATAGTCACTAGAACAAGAAGTAAAAAGGGTCAGACTAAAAAATGTATTTGTCCTAAAAAGTGTATGCTTTCCATGTTCAGGGTTGAACAGCTATAGATAACAAATACATTTCCATTTTCCATTTTGGTTTTCCCATTCCCTTGGAGATTTCCCCCAGTGTAAGGAAAAACAAAACAAAACAAAGAACACTACAAATGATATGCCCCTGGGTAAGCTCCAAACACCTATTGTGGCTCCTTGAGGGAAGACAGATTGTTGCTTTGAATAAAGATGGAAGCCTTTCCACACTTTAATGGTGATTTCATTTTCTGAACAATTGTTTTTCCTCATAGACCTGAAATGTGAGCCATCTCTTCGATTACTCACATTAAACTGTAATTGGATCGTGTTTCTCAAGAATACACATTGTCTCACATAAGGTCACCGAGAAGACATAAAACTAGGTAGATTTTAAAAGATTAATCCCGAAGAAAAAGCTGAATGCTGGGAATTCAGATATTATAAAACAGATATGTTCCATATATGGTGGATTATCCGAGCATACAGAAATTTTGGGCATGGATATTAACAAAGACTAAAGATGTAATGAATGCGGAAGTACTATTATACCCTGTTAGAGGGTTGCATGGAAGGAAAAAGTTCAGAAGAAGAAATGGAATTAATTTATTATTTATTGACAGCAGCAAAGGTTTTGTGGCGTTCAGTATTTGAAGAGAAATGAAGTACCTGGAATAATGGATAGGGAAATAAAGTGCTGGATATTGATTAAATCTGTGAAACTAATTTACTGGATTTAAAAAAAAAGGGGGGATGGATGAAAACAGTGCAAAATGAATTGTTCTGAGATTTAAAAAAAATATGGTAAGGAAAATCCTGTTTAAGAGAAGATACTGATTTGATAGCATTAGGAGTTAAATTTTAAGAAGGACCAAAAGAAAAGAAAACCATATAAAGAGTTACGGAAGAACTGTTAGAAAGAATGCTATTTTGAATATTGCATCTGCAAAAAAAGGTTGTGTTATGATTAATATTTCCCTTTGATTATATTTGTAAGTTTTGATATTAATAATAAGGTTAATAAAATTCAGCAAAAATCAAGACAATGCATTTAATGTTTATGTGAGTGGAATGCTCTGGCCATATTTTGTATGACATGTTTCAAACTGATATTCTGCTTTTGTGCCTGCATGTTCAGCATTCCTCAGAACAGGCCAGCAAGGCCAGTAGCTGTTGCTGGCACCTGTTAACAACCTGATCAATTTTTTTAAAATGTATTTTTATTAAAGATTTTTTTGATTTACAAAAGTATGTGCAATGTCTCTCTCTCGTATTCCCCCCCCCAACATAACACTTTTTTTTTTGACAAATCGGTTTCATTTGTTGAGATATTAGGAAGAACAACCTGATCAATTTAACCCCTTATTCATTTTCAGTTAGAAATTGTCCATTCTTCCTGACAGCTGTGTACACTGATAGTAATCCCAACTGTGAGAGGTGGCAGGTTTCCCAGCCTATGAGTCATAAAGATGTGTCCCTGCAACTCCTGTTTCTATCAGGAACCTGTGCTGTCACTTTCCAACATCAGACTCTACTTCCACATATCAAGGAAAACCTGAGCAGAAGTGGAGAATGTGTGGTATTGAAACACAATACAGCTGCCTACCATATAGTGCTGTGGTCTAAACCACAGAGCCTAGGGCTTGCCAATCAGAAGGTCGGCGGTTCGAATCCCAGCAACGGGGTGAGTTCCCGTTGTTTGGTCCCAGCTCCTGCCCATCTAGCAGTTCAAAAGCACATCAAAGTGCAAGTAGATAAATAGGTACCGCTCCGGCGGGAAGGTAAACAGCGTTTCCGTGTGTTGCTCTGGTTTTGCCAGAAGCGGCTTAGTCATGCTGGCCATATGACCCGGAAGCTGTCTGCGGACAAACGCCGCCTCCCTCGGCCAGTAAAGCAAGATGAGCACTGCAACCCCAGAGTCATTCGCGACTGGACCTAACGGTCAGGGGTACAAGACTGCTACCACTGATGTGGCTAGAGGTGCTGATGTTTCCTTTACCACCACATTCCACCAATCAACCAAGGACATGGGTACCAGAACACATGACATGTCGCTGCTTGACCGCTAGACCCTGCACTACAGTCCCCACATGGCATTACACAGACCTATGCCAAAACATCACAAGCCAATTTAGTAATCCCGAGGGGAGGGGATCTTTTTCAGTAAGTCCCATAATAAGCATCTAATTAGTAATCTCGGTCCACCACCTGAGAGTAACAATTTCCAAATCTTATCAAGTGGACTCTGGCGTGTAAAAGCATATGGTGAGCCGTAAAGTTGTTGGCTCTTAAGCTACCATCAGACCCCTCTGTATTTTTCATTATGGATATTGAGAAGGAAATAAACAATGCCCTTTGGGGTTTATTCCTAGCTTATCCTTCAGGAAAATTAATTGATGCATAAATGCTGGTATCCCAGGAACTAATTTTGTTGCATTAATGAGTGAGCCATTCCGTCCCAAAAAGTACAATTTAACTGAAAAAGTAAACATGCCAGTGTTTACATATTGTGGGAGGTATGAAATTTATTATTATATGTTTGTCTCTGCAGTGAAAGTTCCTTTAATAATAATAAAAAGAGAAAGAAAAATACTGTAAATACATGCTCATCCTCTAGTAAATTGATTTACATTCTCTTAAAAGGCTTTTGTGGTTTTAATTTTTACCAAAGAGGTGCATATATGGGTGAAGGACAAGCAATCTTCTATTTCTCCATCATGATCCTTTTCATAAATTAGCTTACAGCTACATTTCTAGAATTTCTGGCCCTCCATGTAGCTGAGGAATAGATAGAAAGCTTGATAACCTTTTTCCACAATAAGGATGTTCTAAATATGGGGACAGTACCACAATTGTTGGCATTGGAACTGATGGTGTCCTGTTTTGAGGATGCTTTCCCCTAGATTACTCAGTCTGCACAAACTTCATTGCTAGCAATAGGTGAAGATATCTTTAGTACCCTCGGTTTGTAATAATTTTTTCCTGCTTCTTTCTGATTCTGGTGTTAGCTGCTCTCTTTTTTTACTTTTATCGTCACTGGAGTAAATTTCAATTTCTTCTTTTTTGTTCATTTTTTTAGTTGTTTGCTAGAAGTTCCAGTTCAAGCAAACTTTTCTAGGCAGACGTGACACTAAAAATAGAAAAATTATAGTAGAAAACATAAAATATATCCAAGAAAACAGCAATGAGATCTGAAACAGCAGATGGCAGAGCAGCATAAAAACCACCACAGAAGATTAATGTTAAAATGCCTGAGAAAATATTTGGGTGCATTTGGTTCGCCTGGAACCAAAATAAGTGTTAGATTAGCCTCTCTCTCACTAAAATGGTAATTTACCTCATTGCCATTCACTATAACTGGCAGCTGACAGACCAGGAAGAGGCACCTCAAGATGATTTCAGCACACAGGTAGGCTCATATGCAGAAAAGTGATTTGTCAAGTACCCTTGTCCTAAATGGTGAAGAGTTTCAAGGTAAACACAAGCAATTGGAATTAGGTTCTGAAACATACTGGGAGCCAATACAGGCATTTTAGCACTGGCATGATGTGTCCCCAATACTTTGTTCCTATTAGTGCGTAAGACAGCCGTGAGCATGTTTAATGCAATTTCTGAACCATTTTCAAAGGCAACCTTGTGGCATTAAAAAGATCTCATCTAGAAGTTAGCAGAGCATTGATGACTTGAGGCTATGGTATCTCTCTCCAGCAAGATTCATAATTGGTGCAAGATTTTTTGCCACAGAGGCCACTTACTTATTTATTATAATACCATTATACACTGTGATTTCACACACAAAAATCAAAGCAGCTGTACAACATTAAAAACCAAAATAAACATCAGCTAAGACTTCTCAAAATTCTCATTTATAGGTAATTTTCAGGTGGTGGAAAATTTCTCTTCGGAGTGAATTTCGTGAAGCAAGACCTGGAGAACTTAGAGAAACTCATGAAGACTTCTTGGATGACCCTTCTCTCCAAAGTAAGATACTAAAAGTATAGCTTTAGTCTGATGTATGTTCCAATCAATCATCTGTATTCATGTTTGCATGAGACCTAGATTAATAGCATATTTAAAGGTGATCTGTGACAGCAACATTTCAGATGATGGAAACTGCACTAGTTTCCTTATAAAAGATGACAACAACAGTGCTATTATTTGGCTTTCTTATATCAAGATTTTTTTTTTTGTACTTTTGAGGATTTGAGAAGAAACACTAATTTGGGGATGGAATTGATACCATCTTTTAACTTCATATGGAGTGATTTTGAACCACACGTATACTGGTTTTGGTGGAAACCCAATGAAAAATTGCCCTCAACTTGTGTAGGTGCATGTCCCTAGTTTTTTGAAAGTTCAGTTTCCCCTTGGGCGTCCCTTCTAACCCTACAGTTCTATGATTCCTGCAGAGTACAATGTTCAGTTGGGTATATATGTGATGAGACATTCTTTTAGGTATTACTATGCATTTCATTTCTGTACCAGTTTATATTTTAAAGAAAAAATCTCAAAGTGGTTTACAACAGCTTTCTTTCTCTCTTTCTCTTTCTCTTTCTTTATTTCTCTTTCTCTCTCTCTCTTTCTTTCTTTCACACTGGATTCAGTCAGGTTATGACTAAATTCAGACAGACTTTGTCCTCAATCCCTGAAGAATTAAGCACACAAACTAAGGAAGCTTGCATGCTGCCATTTATACCATACAACTCACAGAGTTTATTGATTTAGTTACATCCATCATCTGGTTGAGTTATCAGTGACCCTTCACCTTGTTTAACACCTTTAGAATACCGAAAGCTTCCACCATAGTTAGTATCTTTAAAATACTGAACATGACGCTGCGAACAATAAAACATCATAGTTAAAAAAAGATATATAGAAAATATTTGGTCATTTCAACATCGTCCCCTGATCTATCAGGAACTTTCATGCAAGTTCTACTGAAATTAAGAAAAGGAAGCATACCAGAAAAAAAGCCATAATTGTGCTTCAACAAAGCTTGTGTAACATGTTAATATTCCCTATTCAATCAAAACGAAGACTTCCCCCTTAAGGCAGCATCTTAATCCCAAGAAATATTAAATATTTGTCTTCCTATGAGTGTAGGGTGCAATTCTCCAAAATATTCCAGTCCGGCACAGTCCTTACTCCTGAACACGGCATGGCAATAAGGATTTGATGAGTTGTGCTCCAGTACTGGAAACAGCCAGAAACTCATAAAACAAGGTAGCTATGCTTGACAGAGACATCTTTTTCTTCCATCATAGTTTTCCATTGCCTTTTCTTGCATATAAGCCCAGGCAGGAACATAATCCAATGCAACTGAGAAACAGAATCAGGATGCATCGCCCGTATCCATAGCTACCACAACAGGGAGCCCAATCAGGAGTGATAAAAACACTAAGAAGAGCTGGGAAGCATTCCCTGTCGCACGCATGTTCCCCATCATTGTTGATCCGATGATCCTGAACCAAAGGCTTAGCGGGGTAACAGCCTGTGTATTTATGGTATTTCCTGGAGTGGTTGGCGCTGGGATCTTGGGAAACTGAGTCATCTTCAACAACACCTACTTCCTGGAACTGGCCATTACAAGGAGGAAGAGGAAGAGAATGTGATTGGTTTGTTCCCCTCGGAACCGCCGGCAACTACAACTCCCCATTCAACATATCAAAAACACCAAATAAAACAATCCAGAATAAAACATTATTAAAGAAAGTCAAATATAAAGTATACAAACAAAGCAACATAATTAACAGGAAACAAAAATATTATCTTAAACATTTCAAAAGAAGACAGTACTAAAAGAAGTCAAATATAAAATGCACATTTAAAACTGCATAATTAACAAGAAAATAGCATATTATCATAAGCATAGAACAAACCTGCTGTTGCTGCCACCAATGGTGGATGGCAGTTCATGGTGGACGGCGGTTGTGGAAGCTCAGGCTCAATGACCTCGGACTGCACTAAGAGGCAGCCAAGATGATATCTTGCTCTCTTCAACAGCCTCAGCTTTTGTAGCTGGAGTCAGTGAGGGCCCCACCCTCTCAGACCAGGTGAAAAAAGGCTTGCAAGGCAAGGAGCAGGTCTTCCAGGACTCACAACCAAGATGGTCTCCTGGTCCCAAGCTGAATAGGGTTTGCAATCCAATACCAACACCTTGAATGGGCAGCCAGTACAATTCTGTCAATAGTAACATACCACGATGGCAATATTCTGCCCCAGTGAGCAGATGAGCTGCCACATTCTGAACTAGTAGCTTTCAGATTAAGCTCACATAGAGCACTTTGCAGTCATCCAATCCAGTTGTTACAAGTGTGTGGATGGCAATGATCAAGCTATCCCCATCCAGAAACAGCCACTGATTACCTTACCAGCTGAAGCTGGTAAAAAGCAATCCTAGCAACTGATGTCACCCAGACCTCTAGTGACAGAGATAGATCCACAAGCCTGTTCTTTCATATGCAAAGGAGGGTGGGGCAGCAAACTAAAAACCACACAAGACAAGCTGTCGTTTGAACATATGTCAGCCAAATCCTGACTTGTTCAGCAAATGATGGCTTAGTGTTACATAGGAACCACACCAGTTTGTATACTGCATTTGAACGTTATGTGTGTTCAAATTAGCACTATACTTTTGATTTAGGAAAGTGAGTTTAGTGTTGTTTTTAATTTTACATTTTTAACCCTCAGTGTTAAAATTACTGATAAAACCGGTAATCGCTACTAAGGAAGTTAACTGCATATTGCAACCCAGCATTATATTCAAAATCATATCAGATTTACCCTTCCACTGTAATGAATCATTTTGGAATAGTTCTATCATATGTATGGTGAGTTTGCACATAAAACTTCACCTGTTTTTACACAAAGGTCATCGGACAGTGACCTACGAATACCACATCCATCAGATGAGGCTTACATCTACAAGAGAGAGGGTAGTTACAGACTGCCCTCCCTAGGGAGATATACCTGGCATCAACTTGTATATTCTTTCAGTACTAGGAAAACAATTATTTCAGGCATTTTAAAACATTTTTATTGTCTTTAAAAATTTTTGCTGTTAATTGCTCTTTATTCCTGCCATTTGCTTTTCATTTTTGTAAACTGCGTTGCAGTCATTGGTAAAGGCGAACATATAAATGTTTAAAATAACAATATCTGACAGCTATTCAAGTAATTGGGATAGATAGATCATTATGGACCAACCTTTGGGGCATTTGTGCCATACAGAATATTTTTTCGGATAGCACCTATAGCACTAGAGACTGTGCTTTGCATGCAAAAGATTCCCGGTTTAAATCCTGGCATCTTCAGCTGAAAGGATCAGGTAGCAGGGCTAAAACAGGCTTCTTATGTGAGCCCTTGGCTTTTTGCTGCTGATTGGAATAGACAGTGCTGTGTTGAAAACAGTCTGGTTCAGTGTAAGGCAGCCTCATAATCCACTCTCCTGTGTCCTGTGCTTTAGGGTAGTCTTGTTTGATGTGTATTAAGTCATGAGCAGGCAACAGAAACTCACTGGTCAGGAAGGAAGGAGTACTTTAGAGCCTAATTGGGTAAGACCCCACTCCCAAAGCAATCAGCTTTCAGGCTGTCTGGAACTATTGGTTGCCAATTGAGGAAGCTAAAGGCAGTAGAGCAGTCCAAGGCAGGCACAGGTCACCAGCCAGAAGTAGGAAGTGTAGGCCAGGGCAGGTTCCAAAGGCAGCAGTGACGCAAGTGGCCTCATCCTGTACAGCACGGCAGGAGTGTGGGTTCTGGAAGGCAGCAGAAGAGAGCAGGGACTTGGTTTGGTTTCAGGAATCTGTAGCACAACTATCCTGTGACAAATCAGGCCTTAGCTTGAATATATATATCTTGCAACCGCAAATAATTAGACATGTTTTTTCTGTGTTGCCTCCTTGCAGTAATGAACTACAGGCAGAAAATCTAACAGAAATTCAGTCCGGACAAAGTTTAGGGAGAAATGATCATAGTCGGCATGATCACTCCACACAGTTTGACAGAGAGGCTTCTGTGGGGATCAATCTGGAGTCAACTGCCAAAAGATTTCTCCAGCAGAACTGAGACATGTATGATGAGTTCAGAAAATGGATTGGGATATGGATATACAGTGGTACCTTGGATTACATACGCTTCAGGTTACATACGCTTCAGGTTACAGACTCTGCTAACCCAGAAATAGTACCTCGGGTTAAGAACTTTGCTTCAGGATGAGAACAGAAATCGTGCTCCAGCAGTGCGGCAGCAGCAGGAGGCCCCATTAGCTAAAGTGGTACCTCAGGTTAAGAACAGTTTCAGGTTAAGAACGGACCTCCGGAAATAATTAAGTACTTAACCCAAGGTACCACTGTATAGCCAGCAGGAGTAGTAGTCCAGGAAATAGACTAGACTGGAAAGAGCAGAAGGCACAAGGCAACAGGGAGTAGTGAGGTCCGAAGGTTTTTCTGAAACCAGTCTGACAGGAGGCTTCTTCAGAAAATACCATTCCTTGAAAGCCGTGCCTTAGGGAGCAAGCGTATGCTCAAGAAGCTGGCATAAATCAATCTGGTATAAATTTACACCGGAACCAAACTCCTTTCAGGAGCAAGACTACGGCCAGGTGAGCCAGCCATAGCCTGTCAGAAGGAAAATAAGATTACAGGATAGAGTTTGACTTAAACTACCCTTTTTGTCAAGTCACATGACTGAGCTGACAGTTAGGATCCAGCTTAAGCCCCCACCCCTTCTTGGGAACTTACACTGGCCTTGGCTCAGCTGGCTGAGCCCCAGCTGATCCAGGATAAGCAAGTTATACTGGCATACTTTTGGCTGAACTCAACTGTGGTGGGAAGCTCCCAGCTCAGCCAGAAATTCACTGCATCCCATCAGATCCTGCCATAGAATTACCTCTTTGTCCATGTTGTACAGTTGACAGAAGGCCACGGCCATGAATTAAGGTTCTGAATAAAAAATTAACCAGCCCTGCTTTTTTCTATTTCTTTTGAATCTCTCCCAGCTTAGGAAGCTTTATGTCTAAATATCTGTGGAAACTGAGAAGGGAATTTATGGATTTGTGAACAAGGTTATGACAGGGTTAATAAATGGAGCTGGAGATAGTATTTACATGAGCTGCTGATAGATGAAGATTTTATTCCAACTCTGTGGCACAAAGTACTGAATATACAACATTCCATAACCATTTAGCTAATTTTATCTCTAGTTTTTAAAGTTATTAATTAACATTTGACTTGCCTCTCAGTAGTTGGTATACATGATATAGTTTTTAGGTGTCTTATAATGCAAGAAGACGTTCCCAAATGCGCTGTTGTAAAATGTTTGTTCCTCAAGGAAAGATAAAATAAAATAAATTAATTTTGTCAGTAAAACATTAAGCCAGTCATTATCCTACGTAGGTACTTCCAGCTGTTAGTAGAAAGCTTATGATACAAACCATTTTAAATAATCAGGAACTGATAATGGTTTTTAAATGCTCATAATAGCATTTAAACATCACACAGAGAGAAGCAACCAAGTTCAGCAGCAGTCATGCACTTGCCAATTTATGCCTGGTTTCAGGGCATTGTCATGCTATTTAATTTGATTTTGCATTTGATAATCTGCCTACAAGCCTTGGGAAATTCGTGATTCTCTACACGTCAGCATTCTAGTAACATTTAGGCAGCTGTGTGTTTTGTTTGTGGTTTTAATTTGATATACTGGTGTGTTTTCAGTAAGTTAGTGCAAAATATATTTTAAAAGGGGTGCATCCTTCCTCCTCAGCAGAAGGAGTCCTTCCATCAGAAGAAGGGAACCTTCAGCCTGACAAATTGCTATTCATCCAGGTATCTTATGATGGCAGCTTTAAGATAGCAACCAGATGATTAAACTATTTATAATAAAGATAATCTTGGAAAAATTGATCATATGAACAAATTTTGTACCATAGAGTGCAATCCTATGCATAAGAAAGATATGTTACTGGTTGATTAAACTCTGTGAGTTGCACTGTATCCTTGAATCTCAAACTGGGCTGGATCTCTAAATGGATATTTTCTTAGCTGGATTCAAGCCATGGGCTTTTCCGTCCAATAGGAGGCTTTTGGCTCCATGGAAGGCTTTTTTCAAAAAATAATTGCTGTGTGTGTACTAGACAGCATCTTAAAAAGCAGAGACATCACCTTGCCAACAAAGGCCTGTATAGTTAAAGCTATGGTTTTCCCAGTAGTGATGTATGGAAGTGAGAGCTGGACCATAAAGAAGGCTGATCGGCGAAGAATTGATGCTTTTGAATTATGGTGCTGGAGGAGACTCTTGAGAGTCCTATGGACTGCAAGAAGATCAAACCTATCCATTCTGAAGGAAATCAGCCCTGAGTGCTCACTGGAAGGACAGATCCTGAAGCTGAGGCTGCAATACTTTGGCCACCTCATGAGAAGAGAAGACTCCCTGGAAAAGACCCTGATGTTGGGAAAGATGGAGGGCACAAGGAGAAGGGGACGACAGAGGACGAGATGGTTGGACACTGTTCTCAAAGCTACCAACATGAGTCTGACCAAACTGTGGGAAGCAGTGGAAGACAGAAGTGGCTGGTGTGCTCTGGTCCATGGGGTCACGAAGAGTTGGACACGACTAAACGACTAAACAAGAAGAAGTGTGTACATGTGAATTTGTGTGCATGGGTTGGCCCATCCATGAGGCAGGCTGAGGCAGCCACCTTGGGTGGTAGAATGCCAAGAGGATGCACCCTCAAAGGCCCACCCTGCTGCCTCTTCCAACAGCAGAGAAGTGCCAGAGGCAGCAGCGGCAGCTTCCGGCGAGATCTCACACCTTCTGTGAGTTCTCTGCAAGATCTCATGAGATCTCACCACAACCTGCTTCTGCCACTTTGCAGGTGCTGCCACACAACCCAGGTAAAGGAGACTTCATTGGGGCAGCAACTTCCTGCTTCACCTCTAGTAGCAAAACAGGGTGCACCAACCATGGTTTATGGTACCAGTGTTGGCAATGAGAAAATCGGCCTTCAGTCTAAAAAAGATTCCCTGTTCGTGTGTATTATATCATATAATAATAATGCCCCCCCCCTTTGCTGGCAAGGACAGTACAAAACAGGAAAAGGTGGGTGGGTAAGAGAGAAAGAGGGAAGCCACACCCATTTTTTATTTTAGTCCTGTCCAATATGGACTTTGATTCTGCCTACCACTGGCTCTGCCCCCAGTTCTTGCCGGCATGCTGCTCCCAATAGATTACCCAAAGAAAGGTGGCTCTCAGCCAAAAAAGGGTCCCTCACCTTTGATCTAATTGATCACTAGCTCTTGACAAAGACAACAGGATACCCCTGCAAAGCCCACTATATGTTGATACTTAGAGTTTATATCTTTTTATCATGATTATCAAAAAATCTGATTCACTGAACGTGATGTTTTATGGCTAATAGCTGTTTGTAGTATTTGTCTACCTGTTTTTACAGTTGCCTATGCAGGTCGCTGTCCTGTGACAGCTTTCTTTTGAGAGTCCCGAATTTGTTGCCAGTAATTGCACTGGTAACTATGACTTGAGAACAGAGATCAGCAACTAAAGATTTCGTTTATTAGTTAGTGCCAACAAATGAAATTCAGAGCTCTTCCATCTCTTTGTCCTTGTTGCCATCTATTATTGAGGAGAAATATTGCTGTATCAAAAAAGCAAGCAAGCTATCATTTTTGCACAATTGTAGCCGTACACAGTAGCAAGTATAATTTGGTTCCAGTTTATTAGATTCCAGGACACAATGGAAAACTTGCCTTTCACGTACAAAGATGAACATAGATTGTCTATGTGAGATGTTTGTGAAGCACTTGGAGACTATACAGTGAAATAAAAATGCCAAGTAGTTTTTTAATTGTTTTATTACATATTACAGTAATAATTCTTATACATTATAGGTTTACAGTATCATCTAATTATCCAAAACTAGTGTTGAATATGAATAGTTTCACTTGCCCTGAAATACAGTCTTTCACTCTCGGAATTTACAGGAAGCATATTGCCAGTCTAACTAAGGAGGAAGACCAGAATGTGTGGGTAATGGATATTAAACTGTCTTATCCATTCTTTTCAACTATAAAATTGATGCCAGGTTGAGTTGTGCTTCACTTGATGCAAACTTGAACTGTGAGATTTAAGTGAATAAAATACACTAATATGTGTATTTTAATTCTCATGTAAGTTCCTCAGCTCAAATCATTCCAGTGGCCTACCATGCAACGATGATTTGAAGGGTTGCACCACACTGAAACATTCCCATTTGATGTTTACTATTAATCTCAGATAGTAGTTTAATTCAGTTTTTCAAGGTTGGAACTAACAACTTCAAATGTATTCTTTCAATACTGAAAATTGGTGGGTTTTATGATGTGTGGTTTAATACATACTTCCTAACCTTTACAGTTTCTAGCATGGTAAAACATATTATATTTAGCATTACATTTAGAATAATGGCTGATCCTTTGGAACATAGTATAAATCTTGGTTTTTGTTTTTTAACACAGTTCAAATAGCCATCGTGTTTGGAGGAGATACTCTGGATCATATCTTCAACATGTGCCGGGGGAATTATGATTTCCTAGTGCGACTTCCTGATCCATTGCTTTTGTACATCATGTCCTATTTGGATCTTGAAGATATTGCCAGACTTTCTCAAGTATCTCACAGATTTGAAACGGTAAAATAGAAGAAAAAGCAATATTTGAAATGTGTTCACTTGCAGTTTAGCTTCAACAAAGACGAGTGCCTTCAGTTAGTGTCTGTCTAATGATTGTCCAGTCATGATGAATTACCAAAAAGTACCAAAGAGTGCTAGTTATTGCATGAGCATGTAAATAAACATTTTGGGGACTGGGGATATAGATTCTCTGGGCTCCTAGGGTGAAAAAGCTAACTCATGATGTGGTCAGCTTTATTAAACTGAGTTCATCCAGGAAAGTGCACTGCCATACAGTATTCTTTATCTTAATACAGTTAGGTAGCCGTGTTGGTCTGACTCAGTCGAAATGAATTAAAAAGTTAAAAAATTGTCCAGTAGCACCTTAGAGACCAACTAAGTTTGTTCTGGGTATAAGCTTTTGTGTGCATGCACATTTCTTCAGATACATGCACACAAAAGCATGTATACCCAGAACAAACTTCGTTGATCTCTAAAGGTGCTACTTGACAATTTTTTGATTTATTTATTTATTTCGACTTTATCATAATATTTATGCTTGACCCTTCTCTAGACACCCGTTCCTGCACCCTTCCTGCATTAGACCTCTGTGCCTTAAACATCCATCTCTTGAAGACAAACTTCATTGTATCTCTAGCTGTCATAAGATTTTGTTATCCTGCTAGATGAGATGTAATACATAATCAGAAATTTATTGCCTCCCTCAGTTATTTTTCACAGCACGTGACAATTTTACTAAAACGACTGCACATGCTTGCACATGACTGACTTAAACAAAACACCACCAGAGGGAGCTAATGCCTAATGCAAAAGAGAAATTCAAGCAAGGGCATAGTTTTCTTGTATCGTTTGGGAGCCATATAATCTTTCAGCAGATTAATTACCTGGTGTATGCATGTTTAAATAAGAAAACATTGGGCAGCCCCAAGTATCTGGGATTCTGCATTTCATTCTGCAGTCTGAAAGCATTACAGCAGATTTGTGGTGCGGGACATGATGGCAGAGTAGTTCTTTCTGTAGATTATTTTAATATATCATATTTAATTTACAAAGTGCAATTCCAATCCATAATTTGGTTAAATTAAAAAGTGAGATTTACTTTGTAATTCTGTATATGCCTACTCTGAAGTCAGGAAGTGGCAAATGCTAGCACTGAAGCATAGACAAAGGCGATTCAATCCATCTGTGGTGGCAGCACGGCAAAGAAAAGAAAAAACGCATTGAGTAAAGTAGCAGAATATTCCCATGCAATAATTATGTGTTTTAAAATGCAAGGGCATTGTAGCTTGAAAGAATCTGCAGATGGTTCAATCCAAAGTAGGAATTACTATATACTGTAATTAACAACACTATAGAAAGTTAAGGTAATGCAATATCCAGGCATTCATTTCTTTGGAAAAGCTCCCATCATTACTGTAAATCAAACAGCCAGCAGTAATTCAAATATTTGTTCTCCTTCAAATAACTGTATTTTTAAAATGACACTTGGCTAATGTTTAAGGCTAATACCTTTTTGTTTCTTTTGCAAATAGTTATGCAACTCGGATAAACTATGGGAAATGATTGTACAAAATTTATCGGGCAAAATTACCTCAGAAATGAGATCCCTGGCACACGAGGTGGGCTGGAAGCAGTTCTTCTTCACTAACAAGATTCAACTGCAGCTCCAACTCAGAAGAAGAAGGCAGATGAAAACTGAATCATCAGATAGCCTGTCAGATTAAAGGAGCGCTTTTCCTAGCTGGCGGTAACAACTCTAATGTGTGTATTTGTTCCATAAATGTCTTGCTTTGTTTTCTGGGAAAAAGAAATTGAGCTGCAGGTATAAAATTAATGTGGGGCCTGCCTTGATGAACACTCATTATGAAGGTGTGCAAGGACTTTTTTGTTTCGTTATTTCATTTGTTTTCATTGGGTAAAAAACTTCGTGAGGTTCGTCCATTTACAGCACATTTGTTTTCATCACTCCCCTGTTTTTGCATTGTCTTTATTTTGCTTTTTCTTAGGGGCTGGTCATGGAAGCCACTTCTTTGTAGCCTGCAATTTATTTTTCCAGAAAGACCTAGGCATAGTCCAGGGAATTTGATGGTGGTAAGGGTAGTATTAGCTGCCACAAAAACGATGAAGGAGCCCACCCCACCCCACCCGGCCTGGGTGCAATTTTCCTTTAAAAATGCATTGAAATGACACAACATCCAGGGTATTCTGGGGAAATAAAATGGCAGCTACCAGGAGGAAGCTGCTGAAAGCAACTGATGTTTCCTGTAGCTGCAACTTAATTCACAAAGAAACAATTCCCTTTCATTTTGTAAGATATGAAACATCTATACATAGTTTGAGGGACCTGATTAACTACAATATAATGACCTTTTTTTTAAAAAAAAAAAGGGTTGAATACTGTGTAAATATTTCTGAAGGCTATTATATTTTTAATAGCCAAATGTTAAACCCACTTTTTAACAAAAGCATAAAGAACTGCATGGTCTGGAACAATGACACTGCTCCCCCAATTTCCACCCTAAAACAGGAATATCCACTTGCAAGTCCAGAAAAGTATTATTTGCTCCAACCATGGCTACAGCTTTCAAGCTACCACTAATGTTTACAAAGAACATGCAATGTTGTTACTTGGTGTTGTAATACTTTTAAGACTATCCTAATATTCAACTGAAAACAAGATTAATATGGTTTGGTGACGTTCTTTATCTGAGATCTGCCTTCTGCTCCAGTGTTTATGATACAGTTCAAAATGATATATAGTACATTTTCTGTTTTGCCATATTTTATAAAATGTGCCACTCAAAATTTAGGCCTTACAAGTATTTCATCTTCAGTTTAGCAGAGAAATAATTAACTTTTTTTCAATAATGTTCAGGTTTGCTTATGTCCTTAAACATATTTTGCTTAGGGTATGCTTAATGACTTGATTTCCTTGATTTTAGAAACAGTTGAAAATTAAGTATTAGAGTCTAAATCTTGTCTTAAATGATCAGTAAGGGTTTTTTGCAGTACATTCTAAAATACTGTGAAAATATTAAGTATTATTATAGAACACTTACAGTCCAAATTGTGTCTTGAATGAACAATATTTTTAAATAAATGTATAAATAACGTGAAAATGTTTCCCTGTGCTTAGTGTTGTTCTGAAACTACTGATTATTTTTTTCTGAACTGTGTTTTAATTTGGACTCTGCTAATGTTACACCACAGATTTTCATTATTGCTTGACGTAAACTGAAGGGTTCTTATGTAATTCAAGTATTATCATAAGTATGTATGTATTAACTTTGGGGATTGAAGCTCAAAGGGTGCAACTCTCCCCTAGTGACAGCGCAGGAAGCCAAGCTCTGGCAAGTGCCACTCACCTAAGAGCCCAGGCCCCTGCCCCATCGCCTAGTACAGTGTTTCCCAACCTTGGGTCTCCAGCTTTTTTCAGACTACGATTCCCATAATCCCTGACCACTGGTCTTGCCAGCTAGGGATGATGGGAGTTGTAGTCCAAAAACAGCTGGAGACCCAAGGTTGGGAAACACTGGCCTAGTAGTTGTGCTGGTACCACTGAAACTACTGCAGCCAGTCTGGCCAGTCACAACACTTCCAGTACCTTTTCCCTCTGAAAACAAGGGACAAGCCTTGCTAGCAACTGCTGTGACTGCTCCAATCAGTGGCTAATGAATGATGCAACTGACTTCCATTTCAGACATGTCTGAGATTTACTAATATTCAACTGTTGGTGTCAGATATTTTTTTTAAAAAGGCTAGAGTTACAGACCATCGTGATCCTTCTTCAGTCCTTAATCACACTTCTGATCTAAAGTTGAACCAGTTGTCCATTCTTGTTTCTAATGCAAACTGGATTATCTCTATAGTTGTCCCTAGTAGGGTGATCGTGCCACTGTATGATTGGGAGCCAGTGTGGTGTAGTGGTTAAGAGCGGTGGACTCGTAATCTGGTGAACCGGGTTCACGTCTCCGCTCCTCCACATACAGCTGCTGGGTGGCCTTGGGCTAGTCACACTTCTCTGAAGTCTCTCAGCCCCACTCACCTCACAGAGTGTTTGTTGTGGGGGAGGAAGGGAAAGGAGATTGTTAGCCGCTTTGAGACTCCTTTGGGTAGTGATAAAGTGGGATATCAAATCCAAACTCTTCTTTTGCAGCGCTGTGGGGTTGAGGATTGTGCTGCAAGTTACCGTATTTTTCGCCCTATAGGACGCACTTTTTCCCCTCCAAAAATGAAGGGGAAATGTGTGTGCGTCCTATGGGGTGAATGCAGGCTTTCGCTGAAGCCTGGAGAGCGAGAGGGGTCGGTGCGCACCGACCCCTCTCGCTCTCCAGGCTTCAGGAGAGCCCCAGCGCCAGCCCCACAAGGTCGGGGGACAGAGGGAGGCGGAACGCCGCCATCCTGCTGTCTCCCGAAGTGGTTTGGAGGCTGACGGCGGGGAGACCCCGCCGCCAGCCCCGCAAGCTCCGGGGACAGTGGGGAGGTGCAGCGCGTCTTCCCGCTGTCCCCGGACCTGATCTGAAGGCGAGCGGCGGGGAGAAGAGCGCTTCTCCCTGCTGCCTGCACCGCAAGCTCCGGGGACAGCTGGGAGACACAGTGCGTCTTCCTGCTGTCCCCGGACCTGATCTGAAGGCGGGCGGCGGGGAGAAGAGCGCTTCTCCCCGCTGCCTGCCCCACAAGCGCCTGGGGGGGAAATAAATTTTTTTTTCTTTATTCCCCCCCCCAAAAAAAAACTTGATGCGTCCTATGGGCCGGTGCATCCTATGGGGTGAAAAATACGGTACTAAAAAGTTATCATATAAATGTGCTATATAAAATGTATATGACACAGAAGATACATTTTAGTAAGTATGGTAAAATGCTACTAACAATAATGTGAATAAATAGAAAAATGAATTACAGTTCAAAGCAATAAACATCCGCTTTTCATATAATTAAATTTGTGAGACGTCTCCATAAAATTACCAGTAGCATTCCAACAACAAAACAAAAGCTGTCATTGAAGTACATGTTATCATTATTTTCCTTTTACAGTACTACATTTTCTTAAGATTCCAGCGTTGCACTTACATATTTAAACAAGAATTTAATTTACACAAAAATAAGCACCCTTAATAAAATAGTTGAGAGATAAATGATTGCAAAGCACCAAACATTAGGCTGCTTCACATACTTCCCTGGCCAGAAATAACCCTTTTGTACCAGAAATCATCCCTCTTCACCACATCCAAAGGAACATGTTCTGCAGGAGACCCATATATCTGTATCCTGATGGTGCAATCCTACATCCCACAACATTGATGGCTCGGGTTAGGATGCACCAGTCTCCCACCAGTGAAGAATGTCCCTAATGGACGTGGCTCTGCTGCAGTGGAATACCCACCTCCAGCCCAGTAGGCAGTAAGCTATCATCAGCAATAGCCAGCAGAAAGCTCCAAAAGTAGGGCATTATGGCGCCAGATCCACTCCTCCCCACAAAAGACTGGATCCAAAAGCCAATGGAGAATTAGCTGCTCAGTTCCTCCAACCCCCCATTATGATTGCTCTGTGGTTTGTGTTCCCTTTCCTCGTTTTGAAAGGGAAGAATAGTGCAAATTCCATCTCCATGTGTAGTGCCCATGCTATACGTTACCTTAGCTTAGTATTTCTCAGAGTGTAGCACAGACCTCCTTTGGCTAGTGAAAGGCCTGGTAAAGCGGGGGGGGGGGGGCAATGTTCCAAAGAGGGGCTGAATTCTGAAGAAATAGGTGAATTAAATGCCCCCTGGCAGAAGATGATGACTGGTGCATCATCGTCTGGGTGCAATTTGGAAAGAAGAGTTCAGAATGCTGCTTTCTTCTGATGTTGTTTTGCTGTGCATGACTTTATGAGGAAAACAGATGTTCTGTTCCTCTTCTAATGCCAGGTTTTCAGTACATATAGCAAGATCCCTATATAGGGAAAGGTATACACGTGTACAAGGATTTCTATTGTTTACATATGGAACAGCCCAAGAGACTGGTGCAGGGATGTCAACAGCAGAGGGTAGAGTAAATTCTGGAGAAGTGACTTGAGTTCAAAAAGTTGGGGAAACACTGCTTTAGATAAAAGCACTTCCTCTGCTACCACATGGAAGGGATCACTAACTGGGTAAATGTGTGAACCAGCCAATTCTATACTGCCCCACCATGTTCTCAGAATTTTTAAAAACGTAATGCACTTAAAGTGTTTGCTGTGCTCACTACCAAAAACAAAAACCCATACAACACAGTTTGGAAAAGCCATATTCAGGATTACAATGTATGTATTTTGTTCTCTGTATATATAATCGAACATTCTGTATTATATTCTAAGGAGTTGCTTCTCAGACAAAATATATACCCTTGATAAATTTCGCCCTGAGAAAGTGGCTCCTTGAGGTTACACAATAAAAATAAAAACAGTACAGTAAATTACACAAACAATAAGACAGCCAGGGATTTCTGTATGCATTTGGAAACAATTTTTTTCCAGACTAAAACCCTCTGAGGGAATGTTAAACTGCAACTTTTTGGGAGGCAGTTAAGTGAACACTAAAGATTCTTTCTAGCTGACATACAACGAGATTGTCTTTGGCAAAAATCACAGAGAGATAAGATGGTTCTCCACAGTAGTGGAAGGCAGTACACCAAAGGCTAAATGTTTTCTAAGCCTCTTCAGAAGGGAACAACTTGCAGTGGAGAAGCAGCAGAGATTTGGGATGCTTAACCCCTTTTGATTTTTTTCATTTTGCTGCAACAGGTCCCTGCAATTCTAAAGTCATGTACTGCAAGATAAGCACCATCTGGAATCCTAGAAAAGTATCTTAGGGAAAGAAGTTCCAGCTCTAAAAGCAGTCAGCCTGAAAAGAATTAATCATCCACTTCTCCACCCCCCAAAAAATACCCTGCACTAAAGCTGCTGTGCCTAGAATTTTTTTGGCATGTTTGCATTTTGATGTGCAGCATAGTCCTTACTGTATTTTACAATTAGACAGAAACACTTCCACATCTAAATTATTTCGTTATTACAATCCAATCCTGCTTTTGAGGCATAATGCGGCAGGGAAAAGAATCATACACTGGACTTCCAAGAGCTAGGACAATGGTAGACCTTAACGCCTTAGTGCTAATTTTGGGAACTAGCTTTGTCCCTTGGTTGCAGAGCTTCAGAAGCTGTTTCCCATGCACAAACAGGGGCAGCTTGCTGTATGGCAGGGGGGCACTACAGAAGAAGCTATTTAATCTTAGGGAGGGAAATTGAGATGGTGAAGAGTGCCACAATCCTTAGTGCTGCATTTGCAGAGGTCATGATTGGTCCCCCTTAACATCAGCAGGCTGTATGTTCCAGCCTTGCTTGTTTAGCATAGGCATGTGACATAGCAATTACACGGGGGGAAGAGATCTGACATATGAGGTATGGCATGCTCTGGCTGTGCTAATTTAACCAAAGCCACGGAAGGCGATTCTGAGCTGCTCCTATCAACTCTTGTGAAATTAAATAAACAATCATCATTTCCACCTATTCTGTTATCCTAACTGATAATACTGCTGCAAGAAAAACTGGAATTGAACTCTGCAGAGGAAAAGGCACCACTGTACCTCTGCAACTAGGACTAATAGTAACTGCTGCAGTTGACCTAGGATCCACAGACACTGTCAGGCCAATCCGACTGGCAGCTACCTTTTGGCTAAATATGTAAACAAAAAATCAGCAGCAGTGAATCTTCAGCCTCACTACTGATCCTTTTATTCTAAGAACCATGATGTAGCTCCCCACTAGTAACCACCTTAAAGCTTTGGGCTTTTGTTGCCATTGTTCCTTCTTTCCCATGTTGGTATCTCAAGGTTATTTAAGCTAGCGCAAATAGAATAAATTGCTCCATGGTCTGCAGACACAAATCATTTATCCCATAATAATAAAAAACACACCATTTTCATTATCTTGAGTCCTTAAAACAAGAGTTGGGAACATACTGTCCTTCAAATATTGCTGAACTACAACTCCCATCATCCCTGACCAAGCTGGCTGGGGTTCATGGGCAGTGGAGTCTAACAGCATCCAGAGGGCCAAAGGTTCCCCAGAAACTGTCATTAATTTGTGTAGTAACATGTCACAGGTTGGCGTCTGGCTGATGTTCAACAACTAATTTATCAACAGTTGGAATAACCAATAGAGATGATTCTCATATGTGTGATTCCTAATGGGGCTAATTATTCCCCCCCCCCCCTTTTCCCCCTGTTAGCGTAAATAAGGAGTAACTGCATTCCAGTCTGCTGAATTGTGCTTGTGTCAAACCTCTGTGAATAACAATAGAACTGATTTTCAGCTACTGATCAAAGCTGCACCATTATGTCAGTTGGATGTTCAGCTTTTGAAAAGGTGCCAATAAAACTACCAGCTGTAGTCTTGTTTCCACTAGTCCGTTGATAGTGGCAGTGTGAGCTTTATTTACTGTCCAAAGATGTTGACTTTCACTCCAGCTGGTCCCATTAGATGTACTGTTTGGTACCATTTCCGGAAAACCAAATGATGAAATGACGTTCTGTTTAAAAAAGCTCTCAGTACATTGTGCTATACTTTTCCACCTTCTCTGTTTTTTGCCGGTGATGGCTTTATCTTTCCAATACAAGGCTGTATGAGCAAAGTGAGGATTCCCACCATGTAAAGCAAGCCACATATGTAGAAAGAAAAGTCATATTTTTGTGTCAGGTCGTAAATCCAGCCTGGAAAACAAGAGCAATGATCAATAAATCAGCGAAGAACAGAGAACATTATTTATTCTAATCATAGCATAGTTGTTGGTATCATACTATGCTCAGTCTCTTTCCCCACCTCCATTTGTCTTTCATCCATCTTAACTTTCATAGAAACCATTCTGCAATGCATTGGATGGCTTTGTGGTTGCTATGCCTTACATTAACGGGTATCTGATTTACTTTAGTTTGCATCTGCACAAAACTCCCCCAAGAAAAAAAAGTATGCTATAAGCCAGAGGGTCTGGTAGTCAGCCAACAAAGGGTCAGAGGTAGTGGCTGGTAGCCAATGAGATTAGACATCTGTGAGAAAGCAGATGTTGGTGAAGTTCCATCTACAAATTTGCCCTGTGAGCATTGTGTTATCTTGTCAAACAACTTCTACCACACTAGGCGCTCCTTTCTTTAAAATCAAGAATGTACCAAGGTATATTTGTTGACTAGGAATGTGGCCCATGAAGGGCGTGGAGTGGGCGAGAATGAATTGTAATCGTACATGCAATGATTCACTAATTATTTTATTTATTGTGTTTATATCCCACCTTTTCCTCCAAGGGATTCAAGGCAGCACACATGGTCCCCCCCCCAATTTAATGCCCACAACAACCCTGTGAAGTAGGTTAGGCTGAGAGGCAGTGACTGGCCAAAGGCCACCCAGCAAGCTTCATGGCCATGTGAGGATCTTAACTCGTGTCTCCCAGGTCCTAGTCCAACACTCTTAACTACTACACCACCCTGGCTCTCACTATGAACTCTAGGGGCTATAAAGTACACATGGACTATAAAGTTGGACAAACAAAACTTTGCACTTACCTGCAAAAGGTGGTCCCAGGAGTGCTGAAATCCCATTAGCACATATGATGATTCCATAGGCATTTGCGAGGTGCTTAATCCCAACTAAATCTTCAGTAACAACAGGCATGAGTGAAAAATATCCACTGGAAAATCCTATTAGGGCACAGACCACAGCGAGCCCAGCATATGTGTGCATTAGTGGTAAAACAAAAATGCAGAAGACGAGAGTGAAGTTGGCTGCCATGAAGACATTCCAAGCACTGACGCAGGGTGAATCAGAAATGATGCCAAGGATGACCTTGCCAAGAATATGGACAATGGCAATAATTGAGGTCAAAGGGAATACATCGTTCTGTGCAGATAGGCCGTATTGCTTCACTATTTCCGGAAGATGGATAAAAGGGATAACAAAAGTGCTGTATGCAAATAAGGCCCAAAACACAAAGGCTGCAAACTTTCTGTTGGTGAAGAGGGATGCAGCGCCAAAGTAACTAGAATACCAGGTCCGAAAGCCTTTCTGGATTGTAAGAGTCAGCTGACTCACCCTCTTCAGCACGCAAAGAGCATAGATATTCTTCCAGTGTCTGGTTGCATCTTTGTTTTCCAAGTCTGAAAAAATGTCAGACTTTTCCTCCTTACCTTGCCCTTCTTTTGCTTCTTCCTGTAAGATGCCATTGGATGCCAGTGTTTCTGCAGAGCAAGAGAGAGCTTTTGCATGGCTCTTGCTGACGTTTCCCTCTCCGCTTTTTTCAGCGGCTTCCTCTTTGTAATAAACTGGTCTCATGAGCGCTCCACAAACACACAGGTTCAGACAGACCGCTCCCTGGATGAACATTGCGTTCCTCCAGCCGAACTCCATGCAAAGGTATTTCAGCAGAACTGTCATCAGGAAAGCACCGAACCCCGTCCCAGTTGTGCTGAGTCCCTGGGCAAGTGCTCTTCTCTTCTCAAAGTATTCGCCTACCATGACCACAGCAGGCAGGTATACCATCCCACTCCCAACACCTGAAAAAGAGAGATTCCTGAATCAGCTGGAGAACTTTCACTGTAGTCATAACACATGCAGGCAAATTGACACAAGGCCCAAACTTTGTTATCCAGTATGGCTTCACCTAAGGGTTAAGGATAGGCTTCCACAAGCATCCTAGTGGTGCAGCACTAAAACTGTGAGCACATTTGCAAAGCTAAGCAGCTTCCAGTATGGTTTCGAATGCTGAGAAATGATGACAAGGTGTGACTGTATGCTGCTATCAGACATGGGAGTATGCTTTGGCAGTATTTTGTAAAGCTTTTATGTGTTGTAGAAATGTGTCGTGATAAAGACTGGGAATAACAGATCACACTCAGCTGATTCTGAGCACCACAAATCAAAGTTTAAATCAGCCTACTGTGGCTTAGCTGTGTATCCCAGAGCTGAAACTGTAGTAGTATAAGCCAGTGTTTCCCAACCTTGGGCCTCCAGCTGTTTTTGGACTACAACTCCCATCATCCCTAGCTAGCAAGACCAGTGGTCAGGGATGATGGGAATTATAGTTCAAAAACAGCTGGAGGCCCAAGGTTGGGAAACACTGGTATAAGCCATGAATTCCTGAGACCTGTAAGATCAGACCTAAATATAGTCACCTGGGCTTAATAAACGAATTATCTCCATCACTAGAAAGACCATACATAATCTCAAACTCAAGTCATATCAACCTCCAAAGCCAGAATGACTCTTCAACTAACACCAAAGCCTGATTCCAGAAACAGTATTATGCATGCTGGAATGGGATCTATCATCAGTGTTTCAGGTAAAAGCCACAGATTTATTAGACACATGGTTTCCCTTAAAGGTAGAAGCTACCTCATATGCAGGACTAATAATTAGGGATTGAGTTTGTGGCTTCCATTCCACAACCACCACAGCCATATACTTTAAAGGTTTATTTGCTGTATTTAAAATTGTTCCTTTTCTGAGATGAGAGCTGAAACTGCTCTGAGTTCTGCTTTCACTGATGCTCAAACAATTCCTAGTAAGTTAATTGGTTTAAGTGGGTGTCCCAGAAAAGACAATCTGCTCTTATGTCAACACTGTGGCATCATCTGTGAAAAGAAGAAAATATTTGCAGACTAATGGACCATATACTTTCTGCCTGAATATGTTTTTGCTGTCTCTAAGCACCTAATGTGCTTATGTTGTCAGTTTACAAGAAGTTTATTCCTAAGGTTTCTTCTCCACCTGCCACCTGCCCCTCATTCCAAGCTGAGAATGAATGTGGAATTTCTCCTCTTATTCTAATGGGGTCTGCTATGGCCTTAGAAAGAGAGAAGACTAATATTTATTCTACTGAACAGGATAACCCTACCAGGAGTCAGAAGAGAAGTCCAACTCAGCTTCCGTATGCCATTAAATGGGGTCATAATGTTTTGTTTTCTTTTATCATTGTATTTTCATACTGCAGGGGGTGTCTTTCGGATTTTTCCACTTCAGATATCTCTTGTGATGATTAACAGCCTTGTGGTGTTTCAAGCTCAAAATCAATTTTCTCATCTATACACAACAAAGTTTACTGTTACCTTTTTTTGCCCTTCTATTTATACTCTCACACTCATAGTCAGACAGCTGAGTGCAGAAGGCTGCCTGCCCACTTCCATAAAGGGACAGCAAACATCTACAATTTTATGTGTCTTAACACAATGAGAATAGGCCAGTTCAAGGCCTATCTAAATTAATTTAATGTAAAGCTTTGTCAAATGCCGCACATGATAATTATAAACCTCTACCATATATCATATTGTTCCGCAGGGCCTGTAAGACAGAGTTGTTCTGCCTGGCCTTTGGCTTGGAGTCAATTTGATTCCCTCCCCCTCTTTCTTTTTCCTTTCTCCTCCTGTGATGAGGCTGCATTTTAATTGTTTTAATGTTGTATTTTAATCTTGTTTTAAAGTTGTATTCATTCAACTCGTTTTTATTATTGGTTGTTAGCCGCCCTGAGCCCGGCCTTGGCTGGGGAGGGCGGGGTATAAATTATTATTATTATTATTATTATTATTATTATTATTATTATTATTAATTTTATTTTCCTTCTGAATTAAAAAACCCCAAAGTCAGAACCTTTCCTTGTAGGGCAGTTGTTCCAACCAAAAATAGTTGCCCATTTTTGCACCTTCTTCAGTTCTAAAATATCCTCTTTTTGGTTGTAGCAGCCAGAACAGTACTGGTAGCTAACTCGGTAGTAAGCCTCATCAAGATCATAAGCTTTCTACCTATGGCACACACTCAAATATATTGCTTTAAGCAACTTTGTATGAGTTCCTGCCAAGTTTTATATGCCAAGTGAGTTTATCACTTGGGGTCCCTTCCAAGTCTAACATTCTATGATTCTATGAAACTTTTGAATTGGCCCGGGCCACTCTGTTTAACCAGCTGTCATGCCACCTTCAGAGGAAAGGTTATTTAAAGATTATCAATATCAAAACCATAAATCCACTGTGAGAAAGAGCAAATAAAATATGATTAAGATGCAGTGTCCCAAATCAACCCCAGTGAATATTGCTCATAAGGATCAGCAATGTGAAAGAGGAAGATGTTGTCCTGAAATGACACAATACTTTAGGTGACCCCAATATCTATCTAGTTCCTTTAGACCAGGGACACCCAAACTTCTCCCTCCATGGACCACTTGGAAATTGCCAAGGGTCTTGACACTTAATGATTTTTCTGCCTGTTGTAGCAATTGTAACATGCTGTGCTAGGTGCTGTATCTTAGCTTATCTTATCACATCACATCACTAGTCACCTTCTATCCTGGTCCATCCCACTCACCCTGTGGGCAGATCGCTGGGATCTTAGAGCGATGGAGCAGCAACTAGGATCTTTGGGTGAAGGGTGGTATACAAATTTAGTAAGGTAAAGGTAAAGGTAAAGGGACCCCTGACTGTTAGGTCCATTCGCGGACGACTCTGGGGTTGCGGCGCTCATCTCGCTTTATTGGCAGAGGAAGCCGATGTACAGCTTCCGGGTCATGTGGCCAGCATGACTAAGCCGCTTCTGGCAAACCAGAGCAGCACACGGAAACGCTGTTTACCTTCCCGCCCGAGAGGTACCTATTTATCTACTTGCACTTTGACGTGCTTTTGAACTGCTAGGCTTGCAGGAGCAGGGATCGAGCAACGGGAGCTCACCCCGTCATGGGGATTCGAACCACCGACCTTCCGATCGGCAAACCCTAGGCTCTGTGGTTTAACCCACAGCGCCACCCGCGTCCCTTGACAAATTTAGTAAGTAATAATAATAATAATAATAATAATTGTGCCTGCCATTCTCAGCCACTGCTTCCACCATTCTTCCCAGATGTGCCATGGACCACCTGAGTAAAGCTTGCGGACCAGTGGTAGTCTGCAGACCCGTTTGGGAACCCCTGCTTTAGACTGATGCACTAAGCTTTGTACATTCATTCCAATGCTTCTGAAAGGAACACCAAGCCTTTTATGTTCCACAGTGCTGTATTCTTCATATGGCATTCTGTACACGAAATAACCGGTGTATGTTTCCAGCAAAGGGATTTTGTCAAATGCTCAACACATTTGCACATCATGGCAAACTGTAATCCATGACTTACTGTGCATGAGCAAATCATGCCCTTAGTGTGCAAAGAAAAGAAACCATGATCCCCGGCTTAGTATTATGTCCAAACCAGCACTCGAGCAAACCACAATTGGTAAGCCAAGAAGAAATCTTGGTTGATCTTTGTGGGTTGGGGTGAAACAAATCATGATCCCTGTTTCAGACACAATGCTCAGCTAGGGATTGTCGTTTTTCCCCTCTGCGCACTAGGAGGAAGTAGTAGAGAGGATAGAAGTGGGAGTGATTTGCTGATGCACAATAACAGATGGTTTATAGCTTACTGTGGCATGCAAATGCAGCCATTCAGTTAAACTGGTCTTATTTAACTATTAATCTTAGTGCTGCCTTGCCTGCATTGTTGAAAAAAGGACATTGGAGGGAGAAAACATGCTTGCATCACACCTTCAAATTACCATTGTACTTTTAGTTTGCAAGGACAAAGGGGAACGCTGGAATCTTAAAGCATGTCCAAGAGCTATGGGTAAACTGCATGTTTTATTGTTACCGTATTTTTCGGACTATTGGACGCACCGGTCCATAGGACGCACCTAGATTTGGGGGGGGAAAATAAAGGCAAAAAAAATTTATTCCCCCCCCGCCAGGCGCGGGGCTGGGGCGGGGAAGCCCGAGCTTCCCCCTCCCCCAGAACGGGACCCAGAGCCATGCCGAAGCTGCGCGCAGCTTTGGCATCGCTCTGGGAGCTTGCGGGGCTGGGGGAGGAGGAAGCCTTCCGCCAGCCTCCAAACCATGTCGGGAGACAGCGGGATGGCGCGCTGCGCCTCTCCCGCTGTCCCCCGAGTTTGCGGGGCTGGGCCAGCCTTCTAACCAAGTCCAGGGACAGCGGGAAGGGCGCGCTGCGCCCCTGCCGCTGTCTCCCGAGTTTGCAGGGCTGGCGACGGGGAGGAGCAGGCTTCTCCCCCCGCCAGCCTTCTAGCCAAGTCGGGGGACAGTGGGAAAGGCGCGCTGCGCCTCTCCCGCTGTCCCCCGAGTTTGCGGGGCTGGCGACGGGGAGGAGCAGGCTTCTCCCCCCGCCAGCCTTCTAGCCAAGTCGGGGGACAGCGGGAAGGGCGCTCCCAGCCTCCAGTTCAGCCTCTCCCGCTCCCAGCCTCCAGTTCAGGTCGGGGAATAGCGGGATGGCGGAGCGCCGCCATCCCGCTATTCCACGACCTGATCTGGAGGTTGTGGGGCTGGGGGGGGGGAAGCAGGCTTGCTTCTCCCGCCCCCAGCCTCCAGATCAGGTCGGGGAATAGCGGGATGGCGGAGCGCCGCCATCCCGCTATTTCCCGACCTGATCTGGAGGTTGTGGGGCTGGGGGGGGGAGAAGCAGGCTTGCTTCTCCAGCCCCCAGCCTCCAGTTCAGGTCGGGGAATAGCGGGATGGCGGAGCGCCGCCATCCCGCTATTCCCCGACCTGATCTGGAGGTTGTGGGGCTGGGGGGGGGGGAGAAGCAGGCTTGCTTCTCCCACCCCCAGCCTCCAGATCAGGTCGGGGAATAGCGGGATGGCGGCGCTTCGCCATCCCCCTATCCCCCGAGCTTGTGGGGCTGGGGGGGGGGAGAAGCAGGCTTGCTTCTCCCCCCGCCAGCCTCCAGATCAGGTCGGGGAATAGCGGGGTGGCGGCTCTGCGCCTCCCCGCTGTCCCCAGCTTTTGGGTGCAGGCTGCTGCCCGCAAGCCTTGCGAGCCCGCGGGACATCCCGCCGGGCTTGCAAGACTTGGGATAGCTTCCTGAAGCCTGGAGAGCAAGAGGGGTCGGTGCGCACGGACCCCTCTCGCTCTCCAGGCTTCAGCAAAAGCCTGCATTCGCACCATAGGACGCGCACACATTTCCCCTTCATTTTTGGAGGGGAAAAAGTGCGTCCTATAGTGCGAAAAATACGGTATATGTTATTGTAATTGCATCTTCTGCTTTTAAATATTTTGCAAACCACCCTGGAAATGTTTTATATGGGAGGCGCATAAACAAACAAACAAACTTGCTATTTCACAACAGCAGCAACAAGTGCAACTTGGGAATCTGCCCAAGAAGTGTGACAGGGGCGTTTGATTTGCTGTGAAACAAAATACAGACATTCAATATTTAGGTTGGTTGTGGCTTTCCAGCTAATCTGAAACACCATGCATCACCTGAATTAAGGTATCTATGCAGGTGATCTGAAGTGCTTATGTGTAGATGCTGCATACGTGTCACTTTTGACCTCCAACATGTGATGTATCTTCTCATGTGCACTGTTTTGTGTGCACAAACCTACCCTCCTCCATTGACATGCATGAAGAAACTCTTACAGGCTGAGGAACTTCATGTTTGTGGTGGAGTTACTGTGCTTAGAAGGGATTGTAGGTCAGGGTGACTGCCTCTTTGCAGACTCAGGCTTGCTTATTTTAGCATTCTGTGTTCTTACAGGTCAGTTTCTACAATGAAAATCCGAATGCATATTCAAAAACGAAAGCATGCTTACCAGCTGTAACCCCAAACGTTATAAAGAGGTAATGTACATTTGAGGCATAGGAACTCAGTATCCATCCTACAGCAGTCAAGATCCCTCCAGCTATTGCTGTCTTCCGGCAACCGCAGGTGTTAATGAACAAACCGATAAAAGGACCTGTGCCAAAACATGAAGAATGGATTGTTTTCCTAAAGCTTTGTTTATTCTCTTCACGAGGATAACCACACTGAAACCACTGATTACCAGCAATAAGATCAGTAAATATTAGGCCACCTGTTCAAAACTGTTAAGTGCTAAACATCGGTTCTCAAAGATCTAGGCACTTATTTCTAATCAATATATGAAACTGAGACAACATGACTCATGACAGGCAGAGATTACAGAAAAATGGAAACAGGCAAACAGTATCATATTTTATAAGGGACTGTTGCTAAATATTTTGATCCATAAATGAATCTATCTCTGCGGGAACTGATCTTGGGCATATCCATTTCTTCTAGAGTGGCTTATGAACCTACCTACAATCAAGGTTATACCCATACTAAGGGAGCTGACCCACGCTGTCAGGCCTCGACTTTGGCTGAATTCGTCAAGCCATTCCATGTTGAGAACACCAAGGGCCATTTGTGATCCCATGATGAGTATGTGCACCAGGAAAGAAGAAAGGACAATCATCCAAGCCCATCCACCATCAACATCTGGATTCGCCATAAGCTTCTTCTCCCTGTCTTTGGAATCCTCTTCAAAATCATAGCCAACATCTTCGCGACTGGCGTACATTTTCCACTGAGTATCCTGAAACAAACAGAAAATGTTTTCACAGGCTCAGGGTCATCTTTTATTTTAGTTTCTTTGGTGCTTTATTCATCAACTCAAATAAAACTGGGTTGTTGGCAGCTCGGCCGCCATTTTGCATCCTCCACAACAACCTGGGACTTCATGAGGGTAGAAATGGCAGCCGCCACCGCCGCCACCCACAGAAAAATGGCCTTCGTTTTTCCTAGAGGGAGGATAAGAAAAAGAAAAATCTTGGGGAAATGTACTCTGAGAAATTTCAGCTCCTCTCCAAGTCACCTGTAGGCAGCCAAAGTGGCATGAATCGGAAGCAGATTTTCAACACCCAGCCACAGCTGTAGGATTTGAAATACTTAACCGTGCCCTTGTAGGGACAGATATTTTGGCCGCAAAATGTTTTCACATTGTTACCCGCAACGTATTTTTATCTTTGGATATCTGCACTGCAAACACACTCAGAAAAAGGAAAGGTTGTTTGTCAAAACTGTGCACACGCCATCAGCTGCCCAGAACTAGGATAGGACACTGGCCCTCACCTCACTGCTGACTCAGAGCAGCCTTGACCCAGCCTTGTCTCTTCCATTCACTCACAGATTACTCCACACAACTAAGTGTCATGCAGCAAGCTGGCTGCCGGAAAAGCCGCAGACCATCCTTAGAGCAGCAACGCCAAACATCAGTGACTGCTGTTTGCTCTTAATCAACAAGGCCAACAAGTCCGAAATGCTACACTGACATAATAACTGGGATTCCAGAATACATTAGCATTTGCTCTCCTAGTGTAAAAAGTTCTTTCCATAATTGATACTGTCTTCCGAATAACCCTGTTAGGTCGTCTTTGCTCTGGGAAAGACATTATTTCCTCCCACAAATTTTGTCCAAAATACCTTTTTCCTAGTGGGGTTAAGATTGGGAGCCACCCAGAGTGGCTGGGGAAACTCAGCCAGATGGGCGGGGTATAAATAAATTATTATTATTATTATTATTATTATTATTATTATTATTATTAGCAGTTCAGAGGCTTGCAATTTTCAGTAGAAAAACAGCACGAGGTAAAAGGGAGGTTCTATCCCCCTCCCCACACACTTCTTCCTTCCTTATTGGTGTTTCACTTCAAATTGAAGGACCTGCAGCTTCGTTGTGGAATAACACAACTACACATAACGTGTAGTTCATTCCTTACTAAAATCACAACAGGAATGTGCCAGTTTTGCAGATGGGGAGATTGAAGTAAAGTGAAGATAAGCCCAACATTTTATTAGCTGCAACTCTGTTTAGATTATTTACATTTTAGGGCCCAACTCGCTAACAGTGTGATTTAACGCATGTTTATTGATAAGTCCCACAGTTTAGTTAGACCAGGGCAGTCCAACTTTCCATATCAAGTGGACGGCAAGAGCATTTTGACACGGAATCTGCGGGCCACACGCTTGGTTGCAGAAGCCACCAAAAAAGAACTTGAGGGCCGCATGGGGCCCTCGGGCCATGTGTAGGACCACTCTGACTTAGACCTACTCTCAGACTTACTGCATAGGAAGGTCTCCTACTGCCATTTAAAAAATTGTTATGTCCCTGCTTAGATATGAGGTTCATTCACTGGGTCACCTTGGTCAATCACTATGTTGCATCCTAATCTGATTCACAGGATTGTTGTGAGGATAAAAGGAGGAGGGCATGTGTGGCATCCTGAGCTCCTGGGTGAAATAAAAATGTATTTAGAATCATAGAATCATAGAGTTGGAATAGACCACAAGGGCCATCGAGTCCAACCCCTGCCAAGCAGGAAACACCATCAGAGCACTCCTGACATATGGTTGTCAAGCCTCTGCTTAAAGACCTCCAAAGAAGGAGACTCCACCACACTCCTTGGCAGCAAATTCCACTGTCGAACAGCTCTTACTGTCAGGAAGTTCTTCCTAATGTTTAGGTGGAATCTTCTTTCTTGTAGTTTGGATTTAACCAGCAAATAAACAGCAGCTCTTGATTTGGCTAGATACCCATGGAGCATAAAATGCTCAGAATATCTGTAAATCTGGGCCCTTTGAAAGCTATATTAAGTTGCACATATTTAATACATGGTGCTTTGGAAAAAAAGAAGCAGCAGTTTAAAGGATTTTCCTAAGGCTACACAAGAGAGCTGTGTCAGAGGGGCAAACTGGCCAGAGCTCTACAGGCCACTACTGTCCTCTTGTTTGTCACATGAATGATATTAATTATTCCAGCTCCCCACCCACCCCTCCCAGATGATCCTCCATCCAGTATTCTGTCTTGATGGTTTAGGCCAAATATCAAATCTGAGAAAATCACTTCTAATGTGTTTGCAAATCTGCCCATTTTCTAAAAGTCTGCAATCGCAACCCTTACATAAAAACACGAGAATTTTCATTTCTGTTTTTGAACACATAAGACACGTCCTGATATACTTTTTAAAAAAAGAAAAAGGAGCAACAATTAAAGCATAATTGCAGTATGTGACCAATACACTTTTTAAACAGCACAACAAAGCAAAATATCTAGGGCTTCTCACTCTCTTGCTCTCTCTCTCTCTCACACACACACACACACATATATGAGACTTAAACAACAAAGACATAATTTATGTGGTAGTTCCTGGTTACTGCCATATCAGTAGCAAAAAATAGTAGAAGTGTTTCCATCAACTCTGGGCCGCTGAATATTGGTACGTGTGTAACTCACAACTCAGGGGCATTGTGTTCCATGATTTTTCCTATCTCTTAAAACATAACTAATTTCCTGTGCCAAAGGCATTTCTGGTATGGACAGAAATGAGCAATCCGCTGATAGGCTGTTAATATTTTGCAGACCTGCTTTGCTGTACAGTATGTTTATGCATGGGTAGGCGCAGCAGAAGCCCCACTCCTACCATCTTCCCCATGTGTGTTATAGTAATTCCTACAAAATTGCCTTCCGCATAGGAATAAGCCAGTATCAAACCATTATCCTCAGGAGAATGCTGAAATGTGCCTCTTCCCTCTGCTTCTTTCCCTCTGCTTCTCACATGGGCACAGCTAATATGGGGGTCATAGATCATGTATAAAATGGTCCTGCATGATCGCCATGGGGTTTGTTTCATTTAAACTACTATGATCAAACTTCGTTTTATAAAATCTGGTGACCGGTCATCGTGAATGAAGACTGGACTGTGATCCTAAGCATGCTTTCTTGGACGTAAGTTTTTGCTTTATAAAGGGAAATTATTTAGGAACAGGCAGGATTCTCTCTCCATCCCACCTGCAAAAGTCCATCTATTTTTGCCTTGCCCAAGCACTTCTACTCAGAAGAAAATCCCACCGAATTCAAGGGGTTTTGCTCTCCAGTCATGCAATCCTATGCATGTCTACTAATTGAGTTCAAGTGGACTGACTCCCAGGTATATGTGTATATGCTAAACACATTTATTAAGTAAAAAACCACACTGAACCCTCAGGGATGTTTTGTGTAAATGTGGATACAGGCCTGTATCAGTATGGCCACCTGTTAGCTGCCTTAAATGAAAAAGTACTGCATGTCCTCCAACATTCAGAGGTAGAAATAGGGTTACTTATGCCAAGTTACTTTTAAAATTGTAGTTTTATACTGCAGTGTCGTTGATGTTATGACTTATATAAATCTTCTCCAGAGCACTTAGCCCTGAAAAGAGGCATATAAAATTTCAAAATAAATACTTGGCAAGCGCCTCTTCAAGGCTACGCACCACTGAAGTCTCTTGTCTGCAAGAGGTACTCTTGTGTTCATTTACTTGGCAACAGACGGTCTCGTAACAGATTATCATGCTTAATATCTCAAAATAAACCACAGGCTGCAGCATGTGAAATGGCAGGCTGTGTCCTGCATGGCGCCTTAAGGCACCTACACCTGCTTACCTGGGAGAAAGTCCCACACAACTCGATGGATCTTACATCTGAGTAGCCAGGTTTAGGACTGCAGAGTTAATCATCAGGTTGTACACTTCCACGGCATGCAGCCCCCGCAGCCTAATTTCGAAAGCTCTTTGCAAGTTAAGGCTATCTGGCGGAACCAGGCATGGAGGGAGAGGGAGAAATGGGGTGTCACAAACACAAGGGGAAATGGTGGGATTGAAAGGCAATCCCATTTTTTGCCCTAGCCACGCCCACAGCGCTAACTTCTCCGCTGCCCTCCAAAAAACATGCGCCTCCGACCCTAAACACAAGGATTGTGGCCCTCGACAGAAAAAAAAGTTCCGCACCCAGGCGGAGACAGGCAGTGCTAAATGATAAAAAAGTGATGAGAAAACCCTCCCCTGGTTTCCGCCTCAGGCACAATAAGAACACGTTTGGGGGGGACAGTATTTTACCCAGAAGCGTAAGGCGAGGGGTAGTCAGTGGCTTCATGGTAGTCAATGGCTCGTTCAGGTGGCGGCTCTCGCCTCTGGCGCCTTCCTCAGTGGCTCCCCGCGAGCAGAAACCTGGCCGGAGTTGTGGGGAGCGGGCCGCGTAAAAAGCGCGAAATAAGGAGCCCCGCGCGGAGCAGGGAAGGACAGCGGCGGCGGAAGGGCCACAAGGCGACTGACCGCGAGTTACCTCACGGCGGCTGCGGGAGCAGCGGGAAACCTTCCTGCCGGGAGCAGACAAAGCTTCGCGGCCGCTGCGTGCGGAGCCTGCCCGCCTGCCTGGCGCGCCATGCATGCCTCCCCGCTTGCCCGAGGCCGCCCAGGCTCCGGTGCCCAGCCTCGAGGGCAGGCCTGGCTGGCACACCCACCCACTCACCCCGGAGGGAGCCGCGCTTACTCCCGGGCGCCTCTCGAGCGCGGCGGATCCGCTGCTGCTGCTGCTTCCCGCGGCGGAGTCCCCGGGACTGCTGCAGTCTGGAGTGGCATCTTCAGCAAGGCGCCCGCCCGGAGCTCTCCTCGCCCGTGTCGGGGGAGGGACGCAGGGAAGCGGGGTCGGGAGTGGGTGGGGGCTTAATTCCCCCGCCGGCCTCGACCCCCGAGCGTTGCCCTTTTGTCCCCAGGGCACTTCGCCTCGGCGTGATCTTCCTCCACCAACTCCCTGCACCGCCGGCCCATCTCTGGCCGCTTGCAAGTCGGCGCGCTCTGCCCATGTGTGCGAGGCACCGGCTGATTCTGGTTTTGCGTAAGGGAGATTTGGAAGCACTTGGCGGGCTGCCGGGGCCTCTGGCGATCGCTGGGTGAAGTTTGGCCAGGGGCAACTGCTGCGCAGCCCGGCTTAGGGCAGGAAAAGCCCCCTTCCAGCCCAGCGAGCCATCGGGGAGAAGAGCGCGGCAGAAGGAGCGAGCGGTGCATTGTTGTTGTTGTTCGTAGACAGGCCTCTCCCGCGTGTGGAAATCCTGAGGACCAAAAACAGCCCCAGGGAAGATTAAGAGATTTACACTCCTGTTTACGAAAGGCTTTTGGCTTCCCGTTCCAGAAATCTTCTCACCACTTACCCCTGGCCTTTCCCCACCCCCACCTAGCAGCTCAGACCCCTGGCGTCTTTTCTAAGTAACACACCAGGGACTAGTTTCTTAGTTTTCAGATGAGGACAGCCTTGAAATCGTGAAACGCTGCCGAGTTTTGTCTTGTATCATAGAATCATAGTAGTGGTGGGACCTCATGGGTCATCTAGTCCAACCCCCTACAATGCTGAAATCTAAAGTGACCACAGCAGATGGCCATCCAACCTCTGCTTTAAAAGCTCCAAGGAAGGAGAGTCCACCACCTTCTGAAGGAGTAAGGCTGCACTAGTATGCATGCTTACCTGGGAGTAAGCCCCTTGGAGCTCATTGGGACTTAACTGCTGAATGCCCATGCATAGGTTAGCCTGTTAACAGATCTGTTGCGGCACACCCTTTCATGGACTAGATCAAGCATGAGGAAACCTCGGCGGCTCTGGGCCTAATGTGGCCCACCCGTTCCATGAGCCAGACCCTGACAATCTCCCCACCAAGAAGCCAGGATAGACCAATTTTCACCCCCATCCTAGTGCAAGAGGGGGCAATATTTAACTTTCCCTACCCAGTGGGTGGCGCTGTGGTCTAAACCACTGAGCCGATAGGGTGAGCTCCCGTTGCTTGGTCCCAGCTCCTGCCAACCTAGCTGGTCGAAAGCACGTCAAAGTGCAAGTAGATAAATAGGTACCGCTCCGGCGGGAAGGTAAGCAGCGTTTCCGTGCGCTGCTCTGGTTTCACCAGAAGCGGCTTAGTCATGCTGGCCACATGACTCGGAAGCTGTCTGCGGACAAACACTGGCTCCCTCAGCCAGTAAAGCGAGATGAGCACCGCAACCCCAGAGTCGTCCGCGACTGGACCTAACAGTCAGGGGTCCCTTTACCTTTACCTAGCATAACACAAACAGGAAGAAAAGCAGCACTTCCCTGCTCCCCAGCTGATCCCCATGGATCCAGTGTGGCATGTATATGGAAGGGTGAGTTAACCCCCCCCGCGCCCAATATGTCAAGATGAGGATGAAAGTCTCCCCTCTGTGATTCTATGTTCAGTGTATCTGTGTGTGTGTGTTAATATTTTGTGTGTGGTTTTATAGTGATGTGGTGTGGTGTGTTTTAAGTGTATGAATGTGTTTTAATTTTTCCACTTCTATAGCAGCTGTTCGAGGGAGGAGAGTGTTTTTTTTATTTTTATTTTTTGTAGGATTGTGCTGCTTGAGTAAAAGGCTTTTAAAAAAACAAACCCCAAAAAACACCTCCCACTCTCCAGATTCTGATTAGCTCCTTCCCCTATTTAAAATAGACTCTCAATGGTGCTAAGCTTCAGACACTGCAGGTGTTCTTTCAATTGTGTTGTGTATAACAGCTTTCCCAAACCTGGGTCTCCAGCTGTTTTTCGGACTACAGTTCCCATCATCCCTGACCACGTGTCTTGCTAGCTAGGGATGGTGGTAGTTGTAGTCCAAAAAGCTGGAGACCCAAGTTTGAGAAACACTGGTGTATGAGAACTCCTCCCAGTGTGTGTGTGTGTGTGTGTGTGTGTGTGTGTGTGTGTGTGTGTTAAAAACACACTGAAATTAGTAAATTGAAAAGTTAAATTTATTGCATTTGTTTAATATATTTCTTTCCTGCCCTTTACCATAAGGTCCCAAAGCGGGTTGCACACAATAAAGTATGCAATCATAAAACAAAACAGTGTAAACCATAAAGCAAGAAAACTGTAAAATATTTTTTAAAGCAGTTCATTATATAAAACAATTAAAAATTCCACATTTAGATACAACACAAACATTAAAAAACAATTCCAAATATAAGAACAGTTGTTTTTTTTAAAAAAATGTTCCAGTTCAGATTCAGACTATTGTCTTGAGATAATTTCCTGTACCATCCAAATTTTTCTATCTGGTCAAAGGAGACCATGTCCTCCCCCCACTCATCTTGTCACCCCAAAGAGGACCCAGAGCTACAGAACAAAAGTACCCAGCAATATGTGAATTTTCCAAATTATAGCATTAAGGAGAATCAAATTCCTGTCCTAAGAAGGGGTCCAGTGACAACGATGACAAAAGGATCCCCTGTAAATGTCAAATGAAGGAATATGGTTAGGTTATTTGAACGTCAAAAGCAAGGAAATACAAGGTAGAACATTAGGATGAATATCATGGAACACCAAAACCAAAGGAAGCACAAAACTGAGTGTTTCCTGCCTTCTGTGGTCCGTTTGGTACCTTTCATTTTTCACTGGAACATGAGACAGTAAAAAGATAAGGATCTCTTTCAGCAGGACATATGAATCACTTCCCATGACGTATCTTGACATGGTTTTACAAGGCAATTCCAAGTATAAAAAGAATTTATAATAAATTCAGATACCAACTGGTGGTTGTTGTTTTTTAAAAAACCAACTACATCTTCATTGGATGTGTTTAGGGTTTTACCTAACCCACACATGCCAGTTTAATATTGGAGAGAACAAGTGGGACTTTTAACAAAGCATTGCCTGACAAGCCAGCTGTGCCCTTTTATGGCATACTCCATTTCATCCACTTCTGTTTTTCTCTCAACACACATTTCACATTCTGTGGCCACAAATCATTTTCAGTGTTCACTGGAGTGTTTGCTTGTTTTTAAATTGTACTTGTACAAACCTTGGAACTTCTATTGTCGATCTTTTCCTCATGCGCAGATTGGCACTGGGAGAATGAGTTTTGTGGTTATTTAACCATTATCATTCAACAAAACGAAAACACTTCAGTGAATACCACCGACAAAGCCTGTTAGAGCTGTGCTTGTTTCACCTAAACCCGTTCTGCCTCTCCTGGATGCAGGATGTGGTTTTTATTCTGCTGTTAGATATCTCAAAACACTGTATACCAAGGTAGTAACGGAGCTAATCTTTAGTGAAATGTTGCTGCAAAAACAGAATATTTTGAGAACTTTGGAGTTCTGTACACATGACAGTGTTGTAGTTGTGACCTATCTTCTGCATAGAGGGCTACAAAATCCAGTGTTTCCTGTTTGATTCACTTACTCTCAAAGCTACTACTCATCAGAGGCGGATTTGGGGCAGTGCGCGCAGCCAAAGCTTCGGAAAGGAGGCGGGAAGGTGCTCTGTCAGGGTCCTAGAGTCCTCCTGTCTCCTTCCCAAAGCTGGGCAAGCTCTTCCGGCTTTTGCAAGGAGGCTGGAGAGGGCTCTTAAGACCATGCCAGAGTCTCACACCTCCTTCAAGGAAGGGCATAAAATGGCCTTAAAATGGGAAGCATATTACAGCAACCCTGTGAGGTAACTCACTATTATTCTAATTATAGGTGGGTAGTTGAAAGAGTGTGACTTGCCAATGCTCCATTCAGTTATTACTTGGCCCAAAGGAAAAACTATGGGACAGGCCTTGATCTTAGGAAATCCCTTGACTGCTTCTTCTTGCCCACCACCAAAACGGAAGATTCTGCTTTCAAATAAATGTGGCATTTGTTGGTATGTGGGGTCCCTCATCGATCTATATATCGAAAGGCATATACCACTGGATTGTAACAAAACCTCTAAGGTGTTTACAAGAGCTGTTAAAATTAAATAGAAATATGTAGCAGCAGTGGGAAACCTACAGCCCATAGGGATAATTAAGCTTGCCAGGTCTCCCCATTCGGCCCACAACGCCATTTCAGCCAAGACACAATGGTGCTCACAGGCTTTGCATTGGTGACCCCTGGTTTAAATGGAAGACAATATGACACCCACAAACTAGAGGCATGTGAATCTGTTGATTGCGGCTTCTCTCAGTTTCTCATTCTTCTAATCTTAAACTCAGCTCTCCAGATTTCCATATCAGTCTCCAGATTATTATTATTTTAAGTTCTCGTTTTAGTACAAATTTATCTTAATGTACACATTTTTGCGTAGATTTCCCTTAACACGTTTTTTCAGAAAGCAGTTGTGCTGGTCCCGAGGGTAAGGTACCGTGGGTGTAGCAGAGTCCACACGAAGAGGGGCGAGGTCCGATGCAGAGAGCCGGGCGGGGAACAGGAACGCTGGAACAGAAGGCTGAGCAGGTAACAGGAACACCGGATGGTCGGGAACAGGAGGCCGAGCAGGGAACAGGAGTACCGGTTAGTCAGGAACAGGAAGCCGAGCAGGGAACAGGAACACAGGAAGGTCCGAAGCCAACAACGACGTTGCTCCCGCAACCTGGGGCCGGGCTGACTGGGCTTTTATCCTCTTCTAAGGCCAGGGGCGGTCCCGACCCCCAGGAGCCCCGCCTCCTCTGGCCTTAAGGCGAGCACTCCTCCTGGGGGCAACCAGTTCCCTTCGCCTCTCTGCCCTAAGCCTCTGCAGATCAGGAGAGGCCGAAGGGTTACTGGGCCCTGGAGAAGGCTCACCTGTGGCCACTGAGTCATCAAGCCCCTCTGGGGCCAGAAGGGCTTCACCTGGGGCCAGCTCCTGATGCACTGCCACAGGTGCAGGCTCTTCAGCATCTAGGCCTTGCCCCAGTTCAGCCGGCCCTGGAGGCGGGGACTCCTGTGCAGGCTGGGATTCCTCTGTTTCATCCTCCGAATCAGAATCCCAGGCCATCACACCATCCCCCCTCCCAGGCCCCCCCCTCAACCGAGGGTCCGGACCCGGCTTGCCGGGGTACGTCGCATGGAACTCTCGGAGGCAGGCAGGTGCGTGGACGTTGGCCGCTGGTTCCCAGGAACGGTCCTCCGGTCCGTACCCCTTCCAGTCAATGAGATACTGCAGCTTTCCCCTGCGGTATCGGGAGTCCAGGATGCGTTCCACCTCGTACTCAGGCTCTCCCCGAACCAACACTGGCTGAGGTCGGGGACGGTTCGGGTGGAACTCGTCGGGTGGGGCCACCGGACTCAAAAGGGACCTGTGGAAGACCGGGTGAACCTTCAGGGTTGCGGGTAACCGGAGACGGAATGCCACAGGAGAGACTTGGTCTACGATAGGGAACGGGCCGGTGAAGCGGGCGTCCAACTTCCGCGAAGGTCGAGAGGGGTGGAGGTGGCGAGTGGAGAGCCAAACCAGGTCACCGACGCGAAGTTCCGGCCCCACCTGGCGGTGGCGGTCGGCCTGGGCTTTGTACGCTTCCTTGGCCTGGTGCAGTTGCTCCACCAAAAGCTGTTGCTGGGACTGGAGCTCTTGAAGCCACTCCGTCACCGCTGGGACCGCGGATGCCGGCAGCACCTCTGGAAACAGCCGTGGATGATAACCATAACTGGCCTGGAACGGGGTCTGCTGGGTGGACGCATTCACCGCGTTGTTATAGGCGAACTCCGCCAATGCCAGGTGGTCGACCCAGTCATCCTGCTGGTAGCTGCAGTAACACCGGAGGTACTGCTCCAGCACCGCGTTCGCCCGTTCCGTCTGGCCATCGGTCTGTGGGTGGTAGGCTGACGAGAGGCAGACCTCTGTCCCGAGGGTCTGGTGTAATGCTCGCCAGAACCGGGATGTGAACTGAACGCCCCGGTCGGACACCACGCGCTCAGGTAGTCCATGCAGGCGGAAGACATGCTGAAGGCACAGCTGAGCAGTTTCCTTGGCTGTGGGTACAGATGGACAGGGAGCGCAGTGCACCATCTTGGTGAAATGGTCGGAGAAAACCAGAAGGCAGGTACAACCACGAGACGAGGGTAAATCCACTACAAAGTCCAACGAAACCGTGTGCCAAGGGCGCGGTGGAACTGGCAATGGCTGAAGTAGGCCGGGGGGTCGCCCGGTAGGTCCCTTGGCGCGCCGGCAGACATCACAACCAGCAACGTAGCGAGCCACGTCAGCCTTCAGGCGGGGCCACCAAAACTCACGACTGACCAGATGGGTGGTCCGATACCGTCCAAAGTGCCCCGCTGCTGGGGCATCATGGGCCATCCGGAGAACCTCCAGCCGTAGTGGCCCTGGCGGGATGTACAGACGACCGTGGTGCAGCAGAAGGCCCTGATGCAGGACCAGCCCCGGATACTGTGGGCTGGACCCTTCAGCCAACTCCCAGAGTCGTTCCTGGGCCCAAGCGTCGACCCGCTGCTGTTCCCGCACCCGAACCTGCAGTGGCTGCGCCTCCTGGGTGGCCAGGAATGCAGCCGGAGGTAGGATCGTGGTGGGTTCTGCTTGCTGTACCGTGTCTGCGTTGTCTTCAGGTTTCCGGGACAGGGCATCCGCCTTCTGATTCTGAGAGCTAGGGATGTAGCGGATCCGAAACTGGAACCGGGAAAAGAACAACGCCCACCGGATCTGTCTTTGGTTCAGCTTGCGGGTGGTCTGGAGGTACTCCAGGTTCCGGTGGTCGGTTCTCACCTCCACCGGATGTCGTGCCCCCTCAAGATGGTGGCGCCAGACCTCAAAGGCTACCTTGATGGCCAGTAGTTCCCGCTCCCACACAGTATAGTTACGCTCCGCTGGTAGGAGCTGGCGGGAATAGAAGGCACAGGGTAATAGTGGTGCTTCAGGACCAGTCTGTTGAGACAAGACGGCACCGAGAGCCGTACTGGAGGCGTCGGTCTCCACCACAAAGGGTCGAGAGGGGTCAGGATGTTGTAAGATTGGTGCCCTCTGGAAACAGGCCTTCAACCCCTGAAACGCCTCCTCTGCCTCCTTGTCCCAGGAAAACGGCGTCTTTGGGCGCAGTAGCCGGGTCAACGGGGTGGTGCGATGAGCATAATCAGCGATGAAGGTCCGGTAGTAATTGGCGAACCCCAGGAAACGTTGTAGGTCCTTGCGGTTCCGGGGTGCCGCCCATTCTTGAACCGCTGTCACCTTCCCCGGGTCCATTTGCACCCCATCCGGAGAGAGCCGGTGACCAAGGAAGTCCACAGTCCGCTGATGGAACTCGCACTTGCTGAGCTTTGCGTACAAACGGTGCTCACGCAAGCGCTGCAGCACGGTCCGGACATGTCCCTCATGGCGAGCCGGGTCACGGGAGTAAATCAGTATGTCATCCAAATACACCACCACGTACTTGTCTAACAAGTCCTGAAACACGTGGTTGATGTAGCGTTGGAACACAGCAGGCGCGTTGCACAAATCGAAGGGCATAACCAAATATTCGAACTGCCCGTACCGGGTCCCAAACGCTGTCTTCCACTCATCCCCGGCTCGAATCCGAATCAAGTTGTAGGCCCCCCGGAGGTCCAGCTTGGTGAACACCTGTGCCCCTTGCACCCGCTCCAGCAGCTCCGAGATAAGGGGCAAGGGGTACCGGTCTGGGACGGTAATTTTGTTCAGGGCTCGGTAATCATGGCAAGGGCGGAGTTCCCCACATTTCTTCTTAACGAAAAGCACTGGTGCCGCGGTAGGCGAGGTGGAAGGCTTAATGAACCCACGCTCCAGGTTCTTGCGCAAGAAGTCCTGCAAAGCCTCGCGCTCTGGCTCAGTTAGAGAATATAAGCGACTCACTGGTAAAGGCGCTCCGGGTTGGAGGTCTATGCCGCAGTCAAAAGGCCGATGCGGCGGCAGCTGGTCTGCCCCCCGTTCCTCGAACACGTCCTGGTAGTCCTGATACACGGCTGGGAGCGTGGGTGCTGCCTCCTCTGAGGGCGCGGCCGCCAGCGGTCCGTTTGACCCAGTCAATCTGAACGTTGTGGGCTTCCAGCCAGTCCATCCCGAGCACCAGGGGGAAGCGGGGCATAGAGGCAATGTCCAAAGTTCGCAACTCCCGGTGCTGCTGGAAACACAGGACCAGGGGCTGGGTCTCCTGAGTAACGGCACCTGAACACAGAAGTCGTCCGTCAATCGCTTCCACCTGGACCGGTACTGGCTTGTTCCGAAGTGGCACCTGATGATGGGTGGCAAAAGCAGCGTCCATATAGGAGCGGGTTGCCCCTGAATCTACCAAAGCATGGGTGAGGATCCAGGGCCCACCTGGAGGGTATAAATGTACCAAAACCATAAGATGTTGCAAGTCCATTGGTGCAGGCCCATTCTGCGCGGTTTGGGACCCCCGGTAGCTAGGGCCATCAGCTACTGGGGTTGGCGGTTTCCCTGCGGCTGGCGTTTCTCAGGGCAGGACCGAGCGAAGTGTCCACTTCCGCCACAGTAAAGACAGAGATTTCCCTCCCGACGCCGCGCCTTCTCTGCGGGGGAAAGGCGTGGCCGCACTGCCCCGAGCTGCATAGGCTCCTCCGTTAAATCAGTTGTGACCGTGGGGCTGCCGGAAAAAGCTGGTGCCGTGAACTGGAAGTGTCGGCGACCCCGGGCCTGACGACGATCCTCCAACCGGTCGTCTATTTGTAGACTCCGTTGAATGAGAGTGTCTAGCGTGGTGGGGCGTTCCATTGTGGCCAACTGGTCCAGTACCTCGTCCGAAAGCCCTTCGAGATACTGGTCCCGCAGTGCTGAATCATTCCAGGTCAAGTCCTGTGCCAACAGCCGAAACTCCGTGGTATATGCGGCCACCGTGGACTTGCCCTGTTTCAAACGCCGAATCGCCCGGTTGGCTTGACTCCCTTTCTGGGGGTTGCCGAACGCGGCCTCCAAACGATTGCAAAACCCCGTATAGTCTGCCAGCAAGGGGGAGCCTTGCCTGAGTAGCGGCAACGCCCACTTGGCCGCCTGGTCCTTTAACAAACTAATCAAAAAGTGCACCTTGGTGCGGTCGTCAGGAAAGTTCCGGGCTCGCCCCTGAATATACAGCTTGGCCTGGGCCAGGAACATGGGAAAGCTGGCCGGGGCTCCATCAAATTTCTCAGGCAAAGCCACTGGGTACTTGCCAGGAACCGGGGCGTCGGCCCCAGGAGCCGGTAGGGCTTCCAAGCGTTGCTGAAGTGCCACAACCGCTTCACGGAGCTGCTGCACGGTGTGAGTCAAGGCCTGGTTCTCCTGGGCCAAAGCCACCAGTGCAGCCGCCTGGTCAGCCATGGCCTCTGGCTCTTCCCGAACGCACCCCTACGAAGGGGGAGTGCGGCGGGAGCAAACTGTGCTGGTCCCGAGGGTAAGGTACCGTGGGTGTAGCAGAGTCCACACGAAGAGGGGCGATGTCCGATGCAGAGAGCCGGGCGGGGAACATGAACGCTGGAACAGAAGGCTGAGCAGGTAACAGGAACACCGGATGGTCGGG